CCCGTGCTGTTTTGACTTTCAAAAGATGAAAATTTTAATTTATTATATAAGTATTCTGGATTTTTAAATGTCATTATATCAAACATCAGTACTGCGAGATGCAACCGCCTCCGTGATTCCATGTTAAGAATTGATGCATTATTTAGAAATGGAGAGACATGAATGTCAAAACAGATACACACATTTTGTACGCGTTGCATTATATTCCGAGAATTACATACAAGGCGAGGACCATATACTAGATCACCGTAATTGAACTTAGAGAGATATATATTCTTACTCTCTCTGTGAGATAATTACGTACTTTATATAATATTTTTAAACGGTCAGTCTCGGACTACATTTAATACATGACGCTCGAATCGCAACTGGCTATCAAAAATAATACCCAGATTTTTTGCCTCATCAACACGTACAAGATCAGTTCCAAGTATCTTCACATACATACAATCTTACACATGAATACAAATCTAGATACCGTGCTCACACGATACAAACGCATAGGTTTCGATTCCTCGGAATTGAACCCGCGACCATCGGAAGTCTGGCGGTGCGCTAAACTGCTAGACCATTGAAGCAGTTATAAAATAATAAATATTTTCCTTCGATAAAATTAAACAATTAAATACTTGTTTAGAACTTATTAAACAATTTTGATGTAGCCAAAGAAAATATATAAAAAAATTGTTTTTCTATAATATAAAAGTAAATTGTTCTCTTACATGATAAGATATCAAGTCACAAGAATACATACACACAGTTCAGTTATCATATGGTACTAGTAACCAAGATATATATGTATTTATGTAATATTTGATCTCTTATTAACACATCTTTACATAGTTAAAAATTAACTCGTTTCCGATGTCTGTTCGCTTAGATCTTTTAAACTACGCAACGGATTTTAATGCACTTTTAGCAATAGATAGAGTGATTCGAGAGGAAAGTTTATTTGTATAAATATATATGTAACATTTGATCTTCACAATAACACATCTTTACAAAAAAAAAATTTCGCAAAGATCTTTTAAACTACGCAACGGATTTTAATGCACTTTTACCAATAGATAGAGTAATTCAAGAGGAAGGTTTATATGTATAGTACATGCGTGTTATAGTATAGAAGGAGTAGAGAAATTCAAAGATTTGTAACGCACCCGTGCGAAACCGAGACGGGTCGGTAGTAGAATCTAATTAGAATATTAAACAGTCTCCATGAACGCTTTTGTTAACATCATACTACCTTTTTAGCGCCTTTATTACGTCTTATATATACATATTTTGCAACAAATATCTTATATATAAAATTCTCGTGTCACAGTTTTCGTTCCCATACTCCTCCGAAACGGCTTGACCGATTCTCATGAAATTTTGTGAGCGTATTGAGTAGGTCTGAGAATCGGCCAATATCTATTTTTCATCCCCCTAAATATTAGGGGTAGTCCACCCCTAATTTTTTTTTTTTTATTTTAAGGCAATACAACGTTTGCCGGGACAGCTAGTAATCTATATAATATAAAACATAAAGCAAAAACTTAATACCCTTTTTACAAAAATTGCGCAGACTTAGAATATAATATGAAATTTCACACACTTATCTTTACTTCCTTAGAAATATTATAAATGTGAAAGTAACTCTATCCCTCTGACTGTAGCACTTTCATACCAAAACTACTGAATCTATTTAAATGAAATTTGGTACACATATAGTCTTGACACTAAGAAAGGACATAAGACTACTTTTTAATGTGAAAAAGGGTTGAAAGGGTAGATGGAAGGTTGTATAGAAGTATCGTCATTTTTAAAGCTAGAAGCTTGAAACTTATTTTTAGGCTGTTGATTAAATATAAATAAATATAACATTCAAAGTTTGTTGAACCATCCCTTAATAAATAAAATAGGGGATGGACGTTTATATAGAAATTCGTCATTTTTGAAGATGATTTTTGAAAGAACGACAAAACTTTTCTTTGACTTTTTTGGATTAGATTATTAAATATTTTTCCTTTATTAGGTCACTATTACAAACGTACGAAGTTGCTATTCCAGCTAGTACAATATATGTATATAATATATATCTATATATCATGTCTATAGATGACTGTACAAAAAAAATATGATAGATTTAATCCCAGCGGGGCGAAGTACAGTGTAACCTAACCTTGAGTGTAGAGATTAGATACGAGTTGTCACGATGCAATGAGAATATTGTTTGTATGATTATATGTATGTTATATATACAGGGTTACTGGAAACTCAACGTATTCCCGCCAGGACGACATAGAGTAGCTCAAATGCAATAATTTTGACCCTCTATATGTATGGCCGAAAGTTAATGATGAATTTTGTGATTTAAAAAAAAAATCCAATTCAGCGTCTTTACAACATTATTAAAAAAAAATGGCTTGTTGAATGTCTTTCAACGTAATTTTTATGTGTAGAGGACTTGGTAACAAAACATAAACTCACAAAATACCCATGAATGCTTAATATGAAATAGATGTGACTAAAAACGATTTTTTTTATACATTAAACATTACATTAAGTGCCAAGCTAAGTGTACTTAAAATTATTGCCTTTGAGCTCCTCTATCTCGTCCTGAGGGAAAACGTCGAGTTTCCAGTGACCCTGTATGTATGTTGGTATGACTATAGTATGAATGTTATTAGTATCACTATATTATTTCAAAAAATTAACACGTTCAAGACCGCATTGATAAATCTTATTTTTCACATAAGGACCTCCATTTTATTTTTCTTAATTACGTATATTATTTTTTAAATATTATTTTTGTATTGTTAATTACGTATATACGTTTTAAATATGTTTTTAGCGTACAATAATTTGAGGTAGACATTATTTAACCTATAGATTTATTTCAACTAAAGTTATTAGGTAATTTAGGTAAAGGCACTTTGAAATTTATTGAAAGTTAGAAAGTGAAAATTAAAATTTAAGTGAAATTTATTATCGTTAAAGAGTGACCCACCGGTGTGGATGCGGTGTTTAACGTGTTAAAATACTTTTACTAAAGGAAATATAAACATTTCATAGAATACTTACAATATCATACCAAATGTAGAAATGTTAGCACAAAATCACTCAATCAATATTCAACTTTGGGGGAGGTAAGGGAGTTGTTAGTAATGGTAAAAGTCAAATTAAAACAATATTTATTCGTGTTTTCGTGTCCTTATATAATACCAAATGAAGAAATGTTACCACAAAATTACTCGGTCAATATTCAACTTTGGGGAAGGTAAGGGAGTTGTTGGTAATGGTAAAAGTCAAATTAAAACAATATTTATTCGTGTCCTAATATAATACCAAATGCAGAAATGTTACCACAAAATTACTCGGTCAATATTCAACTTTGGGGGAGGTAAGGGAGTTGTTAGTAATGGTAAAAGTCAAATTAAAACAATATTTATTCGTGTTTTCGTGTCCTAATATAATACCAAATGCAGAAATGTTACCACAAAATTACTCGGTCAATATTCAACTTTGGGGAAGGTAAGGGAGTTGTTAGTAATGGTAAAAGTCAAATTAAAATAATATTTATTCGTGTTTTCGTGTCCTAATATAATACCAAATGCAGAAATGTTACCACAAAATTATTCGGTCAATATTCAATTTTGGGGAAGGTAAGGGAGTTGTTGGTAATGGTAAAAGTCAAATTAAAACAATATTTATTCGTGTCCTAATGTAATACCAAATGCAGAAATGTTACCACAAAATTATTCGGTCAATATTCAATTTTGGGGAAGGTAAGGGAGTTGTTGGTAATGGTAAAAGTCAAATTAAAACAATATTTATTCGTGTTTTCGTGTCCTAATATAATACCAAATGCAGAAATGTTACCACAAAATTACTCGGTCAATATTCAACTTTGGGGAAGGTAATGGTCAAAATAAAATTAAAACAATATTTATTAATAGGACATTTTCAAGTCCTATATGTAGTCCTACCGTATAGTAAAATCAGTATATTTTTTACAATAAAAACTCGGTCAAAAAATAAAGAATACAATTTTTTCTCTAGTTTTTGACCGCAATAGCCATCCCATCATCGCATTATCACATCGGTGATATAAATTCAAATTCAAAATATCTTTATTCATGTAGGTCTATTACAGACCCTTATGATATGTCAAATCTACCGTCAGTTCAGAATGATTTCGAGATGTTATGTTATGCTTTCGAGATTTATCTATTAAAACATAGATAACACCTATTTAAAACTTTCAGACCTACCTTGCGTATAAAATTTCATAAAAATTAATTCAGCAGTTTAGGATTCCATCGCGGACGAACTACGTGACAAAACACTTTTATATATTAATATTTAAAATCATTCAAAATTTGTTTTATATATTAATTATATATTTATTTTCCTTGTTATAATAATGTATAAGAAGCCTTTGTTCATCGAAACACTTGTAATGATATACCATAATATGATTACAATAATAAATATAAAGCCTACATGCATTTAAGTCAATTAAAATTCAATTGTTACAACAAACTGTTTAAATAAATAAAATTTCATCTATTTTTAAAATCGGTTCAGTTCAGATATTACTAAAAAATATATTCTTAGATAATTTTTTTTTTTCAAATTCAGTAACGAATGTAATATACAAAAATGTTAATATAGACATTTGCAAATAACTAATGAACCTAATATCTATACATATAAATAATATTGGAGTGTCTGTTTGTTATATTGAAATAACTGTTTTTTACTACATGCATCATCATTGCCTTGCCTTTATCCCATTATTTGGGGTCGGCGCAGTATGTCATTCTCTTCCACTGCTCTCTATCGGTCGTCACATATGAATATAAATCTCATATGAATATAAATCGAAAATAGACTTTAAGATTTACGCCTTAAAGCCAATTTCCCAAAACCACTTTTTTTACTTATCACATTTTATTACTAATCGTGCCGTGTCTTTTTATGAATAAAAGGGTAATATATAAAAAAATTCAACCAACCTCTCTCATACAGCCTTATTGCCTCAGCGCTGTACGGGCCCAGGAGTCTGTTCACCACGAATCCAGGGGTGTCCTTGCAAGTGATGCAGGTCTTTCCGATGGACTTCCCCCACTCCATCAGGGTCTGGTAAGTGGCCTCTGATATCTGGTCACCTTTAATCACCTCCAGCAAGCGCATCACCGGCACCGGGTTGAAGAAATGGAGTCCACCATATCTGGTGGCGAATAGTTTCAAATATAGTGAGGACTGGTCTTTTTTCTTTTTTTTATATTACGATGGTGGAATAGAATAAAATAAAAAATCATTTATTATTAATAAACTTTTAATTTAATTTAAGCACTTTTATTACTTCATTTAAGCACTTTTATTCAAAAGTGCTTAAATTAAGTTTATTTGTTAAAAAACATTGTTATGACTGTTCAGTCATAACAATGTTTGTTTTTAATCTACCGTCTAAAATAATGATGATGGTCGGGTTACTGTAGTCTATGGACGTCTGAACACCAGGGGCAGTATATGCTGCTAGTTACTAAATTCTCCTTAATTCTATTTAAAAATGAATCTGTATTTTTATTGGGGAGAATGTAGTGACAATCCAGAATATGCTATTGTATTTTTATCAAAAAGCAATAGAAACGTTTATTTTTTAATTTCTATTTCCTTTCGTCAAAAATGCAATAGCATATCCTGGGTTGATACTACATTCTCTTTAATTGGATTTAAAAATGAATCTGTATTTTTGTAATCATATATAGCTTCATTTGAAAAGAGAAGAAGTCGAGTTTCTTGTCAGTCCTTCTTAGCTCTAAAGCACTCCGAACTGACGGTAGATTTGACATATCATAAGAGTCTGTAATAGACCTACATGAATAAAGATATTTTGATTTGGTTTGATATGTATATATAAAACCACAACTGGTATACCAGATGAGACAATCAGAGGATGTTTGCCTTGATTCAGTGATTACACCTCTGATTGGTTCATGAGAAATCAAAATGGCAAGTGCTTTTTAGGGAATTTTTAGTTTTATTTCGGTGTACCATATCACCATCCACCGTCATCACCAAAAGTCAGTCAGACCAAAACAAAACATGTACATATTATTTACCTGTCTTTCCTCTTAATGCCAGCACCAATAGCATTGATGCTAATCGAAGACGTATTCGTAGCTAGAATCGTGTGTTCTGGAGCCAACTGTGAATTAAAAAAAAATAATCATAAACAACAAAACTTATATACAGAACAAACTGGTAGACTGGTGTACTTTAGAAAGTCTACCTCGATTACTTTATTAATGGCTCAAGTAATCATCGTCTTTACTATACATATACAATAGTGCCCTAGAGGTCGGTAAATTCTGGTCTAAATATTGACAAAAAAAAGGTTATTCCACGCAAAACCACATTGGAATCACCTTCCAGCAATAGTAATCACAGTGTTTCATATACATATACCATTATGCCCCAAAAATTTATGACCCATAATATACACAGAAAACACCCAGATAGAAACAACAATGATATTCATGCACCGTGCGAGGAATTGAACCCGCGATCTTTGGAAGTAGAGCGATGTGCAAAACGTCGAAGCCCTCGCCCGGGTGTGCATGTATTATACATATAAACCTTCCTCTTGAATCACTCTATCTACTAAATAAAAACGCTTCGAAATCCGTTGCGTAGTTTTAAACATTTAAGCATACATAGGGTCGGACAGACAGCGACAGTGACTTTGTTTTATACTATGTAATTAATATATAATAATTGTATGACATCTTGATGATATATTTCCATCTAATTACCTTGTAATGATCAGTATTTGTCTAATTACCTACATAGATAATAAATGATTTAATACCATAAACACTATAATAAAGAACAGGGATGAACAACACCGGCCCGCGGGTTGCTTGCGGCCCGTTCAACATGTCTATGCGGCCCACCAAACATTTCTATAATTGAGGTTATTTTTTCTACTTCCATCAATATATTGTTGTTGCAAATTCTTTACACAATTTTACATATTTATTTTTCTATCAATTTTAATTGTCACTTTTGGCTTGCTACTGTTTGTATCTATACATATAAATAAAACTGCGAGTGTCTGTTTGTAATATTGAAATAACCGTTTTTTAGTACATGCACATGAATATAAATACGGCACATACACCAAAATAACATTTCTTTTTAATTTTTGTCTGTCTGTCTGTTTGTTCCGGCTAATCTCTGAAATGACTGGACCGATTTTGACGGGACTTTTATTGGCAGGTAGCTGATATAATAAGGAGTAACATAGGCTATTATTATTTTAGAAAAATAAAATTAAATTCCACGCGGACGAAGTCACGGGAACGGCTACTTTTTATATAAATAAGGTTTTGTACATTATTAATATTACTTACTTTATGTGCGGGCCGCCAAAAAATATAAAAATTAAATCGGCCCGTTGATTAAAAAGGTTGCTCACCCCTGATAAAGAACTTTGTCCATACGATTAATGTACGTTTCGATGCGTAATAATTAATCTACTTTAATTATCTATATCTTATCCGGGGGTTATATTTCATTAAAAAAAAGCGATTAAAATAATCACATATAAATTTATTTTGGGACCAAAATTGTAATAACTCCAACTTGAACGCAATAAAAAATTGTTTCAAATCAACCTACTAGTGCATTATCCCAGTAATTTAAAATGTATCCTTCTAAATGTATAAGCTATCTAATGTACTCACTTTTTAAATTGGTCGAATTAACAATCGATATTATTAATTACATAATAATTTATAATTATATATATAAGATATTATTAATAAAAAAAAATAGTTATGCATTTGTATCAGTTATCTAGTACTCATGACACAAGCTTTATCCAGATTAATTTGGGACTAGACGGCGCTATGTGAATTGTAGATTACTATTTTTTTGATAGACCAGACCAAACCGACACAAACAGTCATACTCATGAATACAAATGTTTGTGCCGTGCGAGCAATCGAACCCGCGACCATTGGTCGTAAAGCGGTATGCTAGACCACTAGACCACCGAGGTCGTCTATTATATTTAAATACCACGTGGCAGAAAAGCCTATTGTCGTATCTCCGATAAATTTTTGTTATCGGTGTTCCCATCACCGGTCTTAGTTAATGTAATCAAGCACTATCTCATGACATCTGTTCTCTATTGAATAATAATAATTTGCAATAAAGTCATTGCCACTGAACATAAACATCGTAACAATTATAATTATTGTAATAGTACCTAATTATTAATAGTAAAACATAATCAATCAATAAAATAATTAATTATTTAATCAACCGTCTGGCAATTATTAGGTGTTATTACAGTAATAAGGTAAACAGGCACCAGAGGTCAGAATCTACAAGAAGATTGCATTATTATAAATGTATGTATATCTATTCTAATATTATAAAAAGGAAAGGTTTGCATTTTTGTATTTATGTATGTTTGTATTGAATAAACTCAAAAACTACTTAGCAGATTTCAAAAATTATTTCACCATTAGAAAGCTACATTCTCCCTGAGCACAGATAATATAATATTACATACAGATACCCCATCCCATACAAGAAAATGGTTCCTTCCTAACTCGGGCTATTCTTCGGGCTATTTTATTTCGCCGCCGTAGGCGCTAGATGTCGCTATATCTGAAGCAGTTCGGATTACTAGTGGGTGATTAGTAATAAAGCATGAAAATAGATGGCAGAGAATTCGGTCTACATGACATCTGTTTTGCAAAGATACGTACATAATAGATATATAACTGTATCGAACTCCTGATTGGGTACAATCGAAAATTCAATGTAGGTATAATATTGTTCGCTGACAGTCTACAGACACGGCTAATGTACCTATGTATCTATGTACTATGTTACAGTTACTTTTTTACATGCCTACTTTTTTCTCCCGACGAAGATATGTCGTAACGCGTCTGCACTAAAATCGGGCTATCGGTTAAGGAGCAATAGCTCCTTAACGAATAGCCCGATTTTAATACGGTTTTTTTTATTTAAATTGTTATGTGATAGTGATAGATTTTAGCTATAATCAATTAATGTGCATATGGGTACCTCATATAATTTTCAGTATATAATTATTTCTCAATATGTAGTTAATTACGGTAAACTGGCAATTTGTAAAACTGAAAATAATATCTGCAAACCATCAATCTGTTATATGTAGGTTCTTTCAGGGATACTACATCGGTGCTAATGACATGTAGGTACTTATTTTGATGTTATACCTATTTGTAGAACCTTCGATATCTACAAACTACGCCTTTACTGCTAGTTTTTTGGTATTTATGTAAGTTGTTATTCAGTTGAAATTAAGCTGCGAAATTACAGGATATTTGGACATAACATCTATGTTCTCCGGAATGATAACGTATGCGGGATATAGCGGGCACGACATGATGACGTAATGCTGTTTAATAATATATACGTAATATTATGTACGTCGGATAGCGTCGTGGTTGGATGGATCGTCAGCTTATTTACCATTTCAGTTCATAATAGTAGGTAGTAACTTTTGACAATATGGATGAAGGAGGGATGACGGAATGACGGGAATAACGGTGATGATGATGAGATCAATAATGACTGCTGACGATAGTGACGGTGGTATTTATATTTATGACCACCATAAAATTCATCATTGGCAGTATTCTCAACATTATCATCATTGTTCATCATGATGATTAAGATCAAATTAATTAATTGATTAAAAAACTAGCAAGTATTAGGTAGGTACTAAGTCCTTATATGACTTAAATACAAGGTTCTGGGATGCTGTGATATACTACAGTCTCTAGATTTTGTTTCTTATTAGTACTCCACAACCAAAGTCTATAGACAGAGAAATATAGATTTACACAAAGTTTTTTGATGTAAATGGGAATTATTATACACATTGCATTAAAAAATATATATGATTACCATCTAATACAAAATCATTATGTAGTAAATAATTCTTGACATTTTAAATCGAATGAGGTGAAACTAACATTGCATGAACACAACACTTGAAGATCATAATTTTTATTTCAGGTAATAAAACACTTTTAAATAATTTATTAATCACAGAATAAACAATTGTTAATAATTTACAATAATATTTCTTTCACTGCTTGTCTGTTATACCACTAAAACTTCAAACACTTCTGTTATTTTTATATTATATTCCAAATAAATCAATATCAAGACATAATATTTCATCAAAATCATTTCATAATTAATTCCTGGTACACAAAATATTCCTGGATTTGTTGATGAAGCAATATAATAATAATCATGAGCTTAAATCATAAACTTATTTGCAGTCGGTTACACATAATTACTTGAATTTCTTCTCATCACTAGTCTATTGCTTTCTTACTTATTTAATTATATTATTAATTGCATTGTGATTAATAATTTACAGATTTTTCTTCTGCTTTTTTCTCTTATTTTTACTTGCATTATTATTTTATACAGTAAAATGTTCATATATATATATATATATATATATATTTCTTATTCTTTTGAACTCCTGTTCTTTACAGTAAAAATGTTATTTATCTTCATCTGAATGACTAGGAGATTTAGAATATCATCTCTTATTTGTTTAAACTTTGTTCAGTATTAAGTTGTTGATGTCAGGAAAATCTGAAAACAATATCATATACCATGTTACATTTTCATGAACTTACATGAATGAATTTACATGAAAGTAACTATACTGTAACCTTATTAGCACAATAAACATATTATTCATACATCATATTCATTCAGTTCTAATAAAATATAAAAATAATACTACTGTTTAGTACTTTATTTTGATTAATAATTTTCAGTATTTTCTCAATCAATCAAAAATTATAAAATCAGTGTTAGTTTTTTGAAGTTACATTCATAACAATAATAAAAACATAATAATACCACATTAAAGCGGTCACCAAGTACCTATGTTTATTATATTTTAATATGAAAGATACACACGCATACATATGCAAGTTTTTAACAACTTATAGTTATACCTGGTATGAGATAATCCTCAAAGACACGATAGTTTAATAAATATTTGTAGTAGTCCTTAGACACATTTAAATTATTGAGTTTGACAAAAAACAAAAAATAAGAAGTTCAATGAACTCTGAACAGGAACAATTCAAAAGTTGAAGTACCTACTTAACTTAAATGATGAAAAAAGAGAAAAAATCCAATGCTAGTGAAAATATGTTTTAAGCATTTGACTTAAAGTCGTTTATCCTATTCTTTTATTGCTATATTTTATATTTTTAACATTTCATTTATGTTGCCAGTACTCGTTGTCATTTCGATATAATAAAAAAATATGGACCAACCTACGATTTTAAATCGATATTTTTATTTGTGATGAAATCTAATAATATAAATTATGAATAACCTACCCTCGAATGGAGATATTAAAAAACTAATTATCATGAATAGTAGGTACTAGGATCAGTAATATATCATAGTATTATGAATGATTATCGTTTCAAAACCTTGTACAATTTAGTAAGGTTGAAAATATCCTTCTACAAAAGCAAAATTCGAGTATTTGTAAAGTTTCTTATGAGTATTTTTAAAAATTCGAGGATCCTCACATTTAGCTACCAATGTCAGTAATTTAGATACCATATAACACTTGTTTATTGAGGTTTCATAAAGGTATAGCTGACCTTATATACTCTATACCACATTCAATTCTCATTCACGTGGCGGCGTTAAGCCGGCTCGGCGAGCGACTTATAGAGTCCTCCTACCCACCGACTCCCTCCGCCGGGTGCTGGGACGCCGCCGGCTTCCGGCCGGCCGGCAGGCCGGCCGGTAAACGAACGACGCTGGGGTGGTATACCCCAGCAGTATGCTCGGGTAAAGAGCGTAAGCTCGGGGCCCGTACCCAGCGGTCCATATAAAGGATCAGCGGACGACCCGATAATAAAATTCTCATTCATTAAATTACAATAAGTAGGTATTTATTTTTTTTAATAGAAGAACTATGTCACTAATGTCATTAATTGCTATAATTACCAGGGTGACCGCGTGGAGGTTGATATAATAGAGTACACTTGTATCAGATCAATCTAATTAATATTTCCCTCTTCAAGTTTCGAAGTTATGAGCGAACAGATAAATATATAGTACTTGCATACCTGTCAAAATCTCTCTATTTTGCCGTCGTCGAGTAAAAATTATGCATTGCAATTCGTTCCAAATAAGAGTATAATACAAAATGATGAAATTTTACTGTTTGCAAAGACTAATTAAAAGCACCATCGAATAATGTGTTGTAATATCTTGTTATCGATTATTCGAAAAAATCGATAAATCTATGCATTTATTTTTAATATGGCAACACTTTCTAAATAAGTATTACTGGAATAATATGGTTTTCTTGTTTAGCTGTTTTATATTTACTTAAACTTTTTTTATGTTTAATTTATCATAATAATATAGTAAGTACTTATTATTTGAAAATATAAAATAAACATTTAAAATACGGTGATACAAATGAAAACAGCGCCATCTATGAAAGTATTTTGGAAACAATAAGCCCCAATTAGCAATGATTAAATTGTAAACAAATACAGGGCAACAACAAAATGAGTAAATATATGAAAATTACTTTTCAAAACGCATTATTTCATTTTAACATCTATATATGACTTTTTAAAAATAGATTAAACCTTTTTAAAAACATAGTTTTGGGTTTTAAACGATTACAAAACAATGTTGAATTCCATTCGATACCAATGACGCCATCTAAATCCGTTTTTCGAACTAAAAATGGCTACTATGCCATTGATCCCCACTGCCCTGAGTAACATAGGCTATATTTATTGCTAGAAAAGATTAGGGATCCATACTAAAACTTTAGTAACGTAACTCAAGTTTTTACATTTTAAAAGTAGATAGAAATACCTGACCAAACTTACACTATATTATTCATACTTCTGTTTAAATCTTTATCTAAATAAATCATATTGTTTTGAAAACTATTTCAATTTCTGTATATTACTTTTTGAATTGTTCAAATCGGCTATTCCATTCAATAGATATTACGAATTTAATAAGTTATACAAATCAAAGCCAGGACGGATCGCTAGTCTAAATATATGTAACTCAAAGGTGACTGACTGACGTAGTGATCTATCAACGCACAGCCCAAACCACTAGACGGATCGGGCTGAAATTTGGCATGCAGGTAGATGTTATGACGTAGGCATCCGCTAAGAAAGGATTTTGATTAATTCTACCCCCAAAGGGATGAAAGTTTATATGAAACTGTGTCAATTTTAAACCGATCGGGCTGAGACTTTGCATAAAGCTACTATGACGTAGGCATCTCCTAAGAAAGGATTTTGATAAAATTCACCCCTAAGGGGATAAATTAACGCGAGCGAAGCCGCGGTCAAAAGCTAGTTTTTAAATAAAAATCTAGAATGACTTCAGGTTTCATTGATTAATTTCGTTGCTAAAGATTATCATATAAAACAGATAAAAATCTAGTTTTAATATTACGTATGGATCATTTGAGAGTTTAATATAAGCACTTTTGAATGGTCATAAATTTTTATTCTACCACTCATTACGAACGCATACTCATCACGTATAGTTTTTAACTGCAACTCTCGAATATATACATACCTACTAATTATCCTGAATCCTTTATTTGTTTGATTGAACGCGCCAAGCTCATGAAAGATGTTTAATAAAGAAAAAAATAAATGTTGTCTATACATTTATCGAGAAAGTCTATATATATAACATTATGCTACATTTTATAAAAGAGGGACCAATGAATATCCACAGGTTATTGACAAAATTCCCACTTATCTTTTTTAATCAGCAATAATGGAGAATTATCAACTGCTGTACATGATAAGATAATAGAAGAGTACTTTTTTTTTAAGTATTTCCAGTTGAAATGATAGTTTCAGTTAAAAAGTACTGGCTACTTCAGAATTTAATGGTTTTTTTTAACCTTATGTATCTGTTCGGATTTTGTTTTTTAAAATACAGTTTTATGTAAATGGATGAAGTAATATTTCCAATCTTTCAGAGTCCAGCCATTTCAGAGATTAACCAGAACAAACAAACAGACAGACAAACAAAAATTGTAAATAATGTAATATTGTAAAAAGTACACTTCAGAATTTAATGGTTTTTTTTAACCTTATGTATCTGTTCGGATTTTGTTTTTTAAAATACAGTTTTATGTAAATGGATGAAGTAATATTTCCAATCTTTCAGAGTCCAGCCATTTCAGAGATTAACCGGAACAAACAAACAGACAGACAAACAAAAATTGTAAATAATGTTATTTTGGTGTATGTACCGAGTTTATATTCATATGCATGTAGTAAAAAATTGTTATTTCAATATTACACACAGACACTTCAATTTCATTTATACATTTAAATTTACTGTTATTTCAATATATTACTTTTATATACAACAAACCGAATATCAATACAGCCCCTAGTACCCTACCTAACAGGTCATCAGCTTGTTCAACAGTCTAATTACATACAAAAATTACCTTTTCAGTTACCTTCATTTGCAGCATGCTAACTTCAGCAGAATAATTTGCTCAAATAAGTGAAAGAACCCTTGAAGGTCTCAAGCCCTAAATAAATAGATATCTATTATAATCTATACAATAACTTATCATCATTATGTAAGTTCGTATTTACTAGACAATGCTTATCATAAAATACGGGCCATAAATATTATCAATGTGCTGTGTACTTAAAGCAAACTAGATTAAATAAACAATTTTAAAAGCATTGATAGTAATTCTTATTGTTTCTAAACTAAAAATATTAGGAGAGATACTTATTAGAATATAGTATAAAGATGATTGGTGTTTCATTTTACTATTGTAGTAACAAAAAAAATGAATAGGAAGTAATCATTCCATTTTTCAATCATATATTTTGTTTTCTTGTGATAAAAAAAAAAGAAACCTACAGTATACATATACATAAAGCCAACGGATGAGAAACAACTGCATGCAACTGAAATGTGAATGTTGAGATGGATGTGTGGTGTGACAAAAATGGATAAGATAAGAAATGAATACATCAAAGGAAGTATGAAAGTGGCACCGATGTCGGAGAGGTTAAAGAGTAATCATCTATCATGGTATGGGCATGTAATGCGTAGGAATGAAGATCATATCCTAAGGATGGTGTTACATATAAAATGTGGATGGTTATAAGGGTAGAGGAAGACCGAAAAAGAGATGTATGTGTGAAAGATGATATGGTGAGAAAGGAAGTAAATAATGAGATGACTGCGAACAGAGATGAATGGAAGAGAAAAACATATTACGCCAACCACAAATAAATGGGATAAGGAAGAAGCAGATGATGATTATGATGATACAACAGCAAGGTTATAGACAAGCTTACAGATCACTGCATTACCACAGACACAATCTAGACTAAAACTTATTTTTTAAATTAGTAGAATATATAGCAGCAAAGGGACTTTAAACTGGCTCATGGTAAACAGCCTCTGTGGTCTATATATGAGAATATACATCTCTGTATTCAGTACTGCTCTTGTAATTAATCAAGCAATTAACTACAGAGTCCATCAGAATTATTAATATAGTGAAACTTGGCATTAAAGCAAGAAATATACCATAACTTAGATATTATGTATTGTTGAACTGATAGGGCGGCATATTTTCCAGAATACACTCTCAATATTTAATAGAATAAAAAAAAAAATTTAAGGTAGAATTTACCTGATCAAGTTTATTGAATAACTCTTGCTTTACATCCAGCTTCTCAACAATTGCTTCAATTATAAGATCAGCATTGACACCATCTTCCACCTTGGTGGATGTATTAATTCTAGATGTGGACTCTTTTACAAAGTTTTCAATTTTCGCCGCATCATCCTTGAAAGTCTTCTTGCCGACCCTTCGTAAGTTATTCTGAATGGATTTCTGTGCATTCTCAAGTAGTTCTGGTTTTAAATCAACTATGGTCACATTTTGACCGGCTTGGGCTGCAACCTAAACATCCATATTTATTATGATTACTCGCAACATAAAAAAAATAATAGAATAAATTTATGGTAACATTTTACAGTTCATATTAAACAATTAATAGTTCTAGTCGTAATAAAAAGAGATATTCAACCTTACCTGAGCAATTCCGGAGCCCATAAGCCCTCCGCCAATTACAGTCACCGTTTTAATCGCATTTAAAGAGGAGGAACTAGAAAAATTCCTTGTCAAACTGACTAATTTATTCATTTTAGATTTATAAATCTCGTGCGCAGTTGAAGCGAGAAGGCGTACGAATGATAATTTACTCAGTATCGAGGCGATCCGTGATGTTTACATTAGCGCCGACGGAGTAGATACGTAAATAAGTCGGTTATTTATTCGCCAGATATAAATGAAACCCACTTGCACTAACGTCAACTTACTGATAAGAAATAACAGTCGTGAAATAAAGAGATTCGCAGCTGTAGAAAAGCAAACAATAATAAATTGTTATACATACATGAAGTAGACATATCTTGATGATATACCGGTATTATACGACACATTTTAGTAAGAATATCACAAAATATTTATAGAATTTCACACAAAAATACGATACATATCAATGTACCTTAACCGTTATACGTCACTGACGGTAACGTCATTCTCAGATGATCAGCTGTTAGTGCTGTACAATACTGACAGTTGCAGTCAGACGGTCAGTCAGTCACGATTCTGACTGTTTGATTAACCGCTAATTTTAAAACAGTCAACTGTTATAGCGTAGTGGTTTACTATCACGGCTAGTAGAAGTAAATGATTGTTGAGAATAATAGAAGACCCGAGTCAGTCAGAAACCAATGGCTCTCGGCAGAGCCGGGCGGCGGAAACGGGCATGCAACGCATGCAGAGCATGCGGGCGCCTCGTCTAGAATCTATAGAATACTTAATAAATTATAATAAATAATCTAACTTAACTATGAGTACGGAGACATATACCGCGCTAGGATAAAAAATGCATGCGGGCACTGAGGACCCTAGCGTCGGCCCTAGTTCTCCGTTATCTCTGCCTACCCTGTAAGGCATCTAGCGTGAGGATCGATATATCCATAGATCACTGGTTATGTAATAATATATCTATCTATAGAACTGACTCTCCTGTGATGGAAGAAACACTTACAACAAACAAAATTAATCCAAAGTAGTTATTTCACCCCATGTCATATAGAATTCAACTGTAATCGATGATTCGGATTTATTTACATTACACAGTTTTTTTTTTAACTATTCTAATGCTATTGGTCGCATCAGTCTTTTACAGCTTTAACTAACGATGGGGGGTGAGTGCAGATAGCTCTCTAAACCAAAGGAAGGACTAATGGAGCGAATGAAGACCAACCTTGCGGATAAGACTACTACTACGACTCCTAGTAGTACCTTATGGCACTACTAGTTCGAACTTCGGCTCAGGCCGTCGTAATTGGGATCGCCGTTTGAAATCGATCTGAAGGGTTACGTTGCGAGTCAATAGTTCTTTTGGGAAAGAGATTGCATAGGCAATATTATATGTCATAGTCTCAATATTGCTAGCAATGCAACTTTTCAGGTGAATTCTAATCTATTGAACCATTCCTGAAATTCATGTCCAAAAACGTGCAAATAAAGTGACGAAAATCGTAAAAAGTATTATTTTTTTACCACAATAATTACAACTCAGGACAATTCACACAGATTCATCTAGATGGGACCCATTGGGATCATCCCAGATCCATTAGGACTAGTCCCAAGACTGATACAAATACTTAAATACATTTTAAAGTGAACCCGCTACCATCACAAGTACCATGTCAGGTTGACCTCCACGTGGTTCCCCTTGGAAACCAGCGTGATAAATTGGCATTTCCCAGGATGGGCTAACTGATCTGACTTCATGCTCATTTGTCATCCTCCACTGGTGCTTCGCCAATGTAAACCGTAAGTTACCGTTTCCGCTATAATAGCAGAAATACGTGTACGATTTGTTGCTTTGCAAAATAGTCAATGTAGGTAGTAACATGGTTAGTTAACGATTTTATGACTTATATGATTAAAGATAAGTACATATCTTTATATTTATGACATTAATCAATCATATAGGTCAGCCGCCACCTCGATATCATTTCAAAATACGTCTTCCAAATATATAAGTTCCAAAATACTTTGATTCCGTCAATAAATCAACTGATCGCTGCCTGTTAGTCATGAATTTATTTTTAACGTATATGTCAGTGCTTCACTTGAAATTCGCTGACTGAAATAAATCTAGCTCTATTAACAGTAAAACATATTAGGAGCGTTTTAGATTGACCGCCAAGGTCGTGAATTCGTGAATGCTTCGTTAGCATTCTCTCATTATCACGCCATTGTGTACCTCAAGGCATCGTGTCTTGCGGTTTTTTAGTAGATGTCCACACTCCCTATTTACCCTCGACTTTGGAGGGGACAGGGACACATTACTGACTAAGTAATGTGATTTGATGACACAATTGTTAGCAATATACCATTTTAGGTTGACCTACACGCGGTTCCCCTGGAAATAATCATGATAAATTCCTGGTGAATTTGTCACAATGCGCTAAGAAACCCACAACGCTTATGGTTGGCGTAGGTGCACATTCTATTATCATCAATAAAAAGAACCCTTATGAGTTTTGTGTGAGTTAGTTTTTCAATAAATTCCTACAGGATAAAAATGGATTAGATTATGCAACGCTGTTTATATTTCTTGATACTTTAAACATGTTTAAATAAAAAAAAATCTGATTATGTACAATCCATTTGGCAGTTGCAATTGCAAAAAGTATAAAAGTTTTAAGATAGATAATAAAATCTTGTTAGGATTTATGAATTTTATTTAATAAATAGATTCATTTTAATATTATTGAATCAAAATATTCCATTTATTTCATTATGTAGAAACGTAGCATAACTTTCAAATTTTCAAACCATTTTAGCCGGTTTATAAATGAAGTTTAGCAGGAAAACTTAACCCGAGCTGGCAACACTGACTCAGTGTACTTTGGAATTTGGATTTATCTGTTTATCACATCTTGTTATCGTAATTTCAATTATAATTTACTTACTACTATTAATTAAATTAATTGTATCGACTTATTACATCTAAATACAATGAATCAATTCGGATTAATAGCTAGAAACTTCTCTAGTTCTAGTGCAGTGCAAAGTGCAATCAAAAATGTTACAGTTATTGGAGGTGGTTTGATGGGCTCCGGGATCGCTCAGGTTATTCAAAATTATATATTTTTTAAATGAGACAGAGTAAGAACTATTTTCTTCCTCTCAGATAATCAAGGTATAAACGGACTGGCCATAAATATTATTGATATTTACCATACTTTTATGGTAGTAAAATGTATGGTATGGAAAGTCGAAAAAAAAAATACTAAACAGCTCGGCCAGTATCCTTTAGGAACCGGAGATCCGTCTCCAAAATTAGGCATCATTAATACGATATTTATACAAGTATAAAAGTACATAAATTTCAATTTCTACTCCAGATTTATAACTAAGCTGCATAACAATATTCTAATAAGTTTTTTTAATTAGAGCTTTGATACACCTTAAAAAAATCTTATGAAAAAAAATTTACTTGTTTCAAATTAACTTCAAAAACAACTTTTTTTTTCATGTGTTATGCAACATCTTTATCATATTATTCATTTTTAAGATATATGTTAACATGCTAATTTCAATATTATTTTCTAATCAATTGTAATATATTTTGTGGTACAGGTGAGCGCCCAGGCTGGTCAGAATGTGATCCTTGTAGATGTCAGCAATGATGTGCTGGCCAAGGCCCAGAAGTCTATCGGTAACAATCTTGGCCGAGTTGCTAAGAAAGTATACAAAGATAAACCTCAAGAGGGTGAAAAGTTTGTTGCCGACTCCTTAGCAAGGATCAAGACATCTACTGATCCTGTTGAAGCATCAAAGACATCTGATTTGGTTGTGGAGGCCATTGTTGAGAATATAGATGTGAAGCATAAACTATTTAAGCAGTTGGATGAGGTTTGTTGTATTCTACTTTTAAATTAATACAGGCAAAGTGTTTAAGTGTATAAATAATTTAAGACTTTAAAAAAGTATTAATTTTTTAATAAGAACTCCTTAAAACTCCAAAAAAAATTATATACATAATAATGTATATAAATTTTTTTGTTTCAAAATTAATACAGGCAAACGTTTTTTTTTTGTTTTTATATATCCTTATAGGAAAGAATATCCATCTTAAAATGTCTTATTATAAAATCTTAATATAGACAAAAGTTTTTATCAACATTTTAAGATGTCACAATACATTTATTTTTTTAATAATAAATGCTTTGTACAGCTGCATGGGCTTAGACTCTTTGCCTTTCCTATAAGGATAACTAAAAACAAAAAAAATTTGCCTGTATGAATTTTGAAACAAAAAAATATATATATAATAAAGGAATTATTAATTAGAAATTAATACTTTTTTAAATTCTTAAATTAATAAGTCAGTTAAGCACTTAAGTTTTCACATTAAATGACAACTAAACTAACTGTTTTCTATCTACAGGTTGCTCCAAATCATACAATCTTTGCATCCAACACATCTTCATTGTCCATAACAGAAATTGGGTCTGTTGTGAAGAGGAAAGACAGGTAAGGAATTATCTCTTAAACTAATTGCATTTCCTATTTGCAGTTAACCTTACAAGCTATAATCAGAAGATGTATTATGGATATTAGAAAATGAGGCTCATTTTCTAATATCCATAATACATCCATATTTACGTCAGATGCTGGCTAGAACTTTGAATTCTAAATGAACAGTTATTTACATAGATAATTGATTTATTACCAACATAACACAAATAATATATAATTTACAATAAGACACAAAATAAGAAATAAAAAATATATATTATTTAATAAAAATTAAAAAAAAAAAAAAAACAAAATTAATCAGCCTCAAGACTTAAATGCTAAAATAAGTTCAACCTCAATGAGGTCCACCTATATACATTACTCGTTAAAAAAAACTAAGATGCGGGTTTTTTACTATATACAGATAGATATTTGTATCCAGTAATGACAAAGTTAACTAATTCTAAGAGCTGTCTTGTCTAATTCTATAAATTTTTCAATTATGGATTTACTTATCTAACTACTACTACTGTCGAGCACAATAAGAAACTTGTGTGTTGCTCTTTTTGATAGAAACATCTTTTATATAAACAACCCAATAAAAAAAAAATCTAACTATTAAATTAATTATATATTAATTAATAAAAAATAAAAAATTAAAAAAAAAGCTACTAAATTAATCAGATAATATTGTCAGTTATGTAAAAATTTTTCTACAAAAACATTATTATCGTTAACGAATTCTTCAATTTTATCATAAGCTTTTTTGCAAAAATAATAATAAAAATAAACTTTTTTCCAAAAAATAACCAAAAGGATAATGTTGGAAGAATATAATGTGGAAGTTTAAGCTATAATAAATACGTAATAAATAATAATTATAATATATATAATATAATAATATAATAATAATTATAATATAATAAATATATAATAAATAATAATAAAAACGCTTGAATGAGAAGCTAAATACAGAAAGTAGAGTCCAGCATACTATACTGATTACTGATTGAACACGGAAGAAAAATAAATAAAATATGTGACAAAAAAATCAAAGTATTTTGTAAATGTATTTGAACCCAAATCAATTATTGTTACAATTTTTTGCCGGACTCTGTTTTTATACAGAAAATCGAAATGCTAATTTAGTAATATGTGTGTACCCCATTGCAACTAATGGTGTATCTAATGTTATATGAAATACAGTATCATCCACAAAATTAATGTTAATAACATGATTTTTGTGAATTTTTTAATTAAATAATTCAATTTTTTTTTGTTGGTAATCAATACAACAGATATATTGTATTTCTGTGTATTTATATATTTATATATGTATGTATATATTGCTTGTAATTTTTGTATATTTATATTTATATGTCTATGCCTGTATATATTTTATATATAGTATATATAATGTGTGTTATTTTTTAATATTTATTGGTATTATTATCCTATCCCTATTATTACCTTTATATATATATATTCATCCATCTATTCATGACAAAAAAATCAACCACTTTTTGTAAATGTATTTTCTCAATTATTCTTACAATTTTTTCTGTAAGAGATCTGTTTTTATACAGAAAATCAGAAATGGCTTCACCAATTTGTGTGTAGTTTTCCAATGGTCTATTTTCTTGTTAATAAATTTTCAGTGTGAATTTTTTAATTAAATAAAATTTTTCTAAATAATACAACAGATATTTTGCAAGTAAAATTTGTTACACTGTGCTAAAACACACACACTTTGGAAAAGACTCTCTAAATCTTTAACTTTAAAGTATAATTTTATACAAATATATATTTTGAGTTAACCCAGTATTATACTAAGTGTGTGATATGTATAGTATAAGTATACAAATATAAAAGTTTACAAAAAATAGTAATCTACCAACACTTGCTGAAATATAATTAACAAATTGTAATATGTAATTATTGTAACCACTCAGATTTGGAGGTCTACATTTCTTCAACCCAGTGCCAATTATGAGGCTCCTGGAGGTGATTAAGGGAGCAGACACCTCAGATGCAACATTCAATACCATGCTGGAGTGGGGCAAGGCAGTTGGGAAGACCTGTGTCTCTTGTAAGGACACTCCTGGATTTATTGTCAACAGATTGCTGGTGCCATATCTGTGTGAAGCGATCAGACTATATGAGAGAGGTCAGTATCATCAATGAGATTATGAAAAATAAATACAATAATAAAAAATTACACACATACATCTGTGATTTTTTTTTATTGTATTTATTTTTATTTTTTGTTATATAATACTAGTATTAATATTCATACACATGGCAGATTTACATTTTTTCTCCAAATCATTGTGAGATTATCATTCAAGTGATATTTTAGGTAATATACAAGATTTATTTATACATATATAATATTAATATTAATTTTATATTAATAATCTCCAATCGAACAATTCTGTGAGTTTTACACAACCAAGTAAAGTTGGATATACATTTTATTATATTTACATCTTTATTGGTTACTCTTTTTGGCTATGTGTCACATTGTGACAATGCCATTTGAATGTCTAAACTAATTGATAACTTGGACAAGTTATTAATTAGTTTAGTCTTTGGCAAATGCACCAACGTGCCAAGCCACAAAAAAAAAACTTGAACAAGTAGTTTATAACTATATACAGGAATTTTTGTTTACTTATATTTTTTACTACGTTATCTTTCCTTGCTTGTTAGAGCGGTCCCTTGCCTTATACCACTTATTTTTAACGCGAATGGCATACAACAGCTTGGCCTTGTAAGTGGCAAAATGAAGAACGAACGAAGCCACGTGATCATGTGACATGTGTATAGTACCCCGCATGCATTGTCATTCCAAAGGACTAAGATATTATCTATACCCTTTGATTTTACTTCAAAAGCTTCGAAAATTGTGTTTTTATACTACTTTATGGTGGCAAACAAGCATACGGCCCATCTGATGGTAAATGGTTCCCGTAGCCTATAGACGCCTGAAACACCAGGGGTGTCACGTGCGCGTTGCCGACCCTTAAGAAACCTTAATATACCCTTCTTGAAAAACCCCATGCTGTAGTCTCGTGAGAAAACCTCGGCAGGAAGTTCAAATACATATTGTTGTATAAAAATTATATATTTAACTGCAAAATTTATTTTAATGATTTGAAACAGGAGATATTTTTGCGTATTAATATCAAAAGAGTTTTCTCAACATTTATATATCAACTTTATGATTTGAACAGGAGATGCGTCAGCGCGGGATATCGACATTGCCATGAAATTGGGCGCCGGCTATCCTATGGGCCCACTGGAGCTGGCTGACTACGTAGGTCTGGACACCAACAAGTTCATCCTGGACGGTTGGCACAAGAAGTACCCCGAACAACCTCTCTTTAAACCAATCCCGTTGTTGAATAAATTGGTAGCTGAAGGAAAACTTGGCATTAAAACCGGCGAGGGATTCTATAAGTATGATAAGAAATAAGTTTGTATAAGTGTATTTTTGTATGATTATATTTTTACCTCTATATACCCCATAAGAGACCCAGCGTGAATATACAATTAGATATTTTTTGAAGTATTTATGTAGTGTTTATATGAGAGATTTATTGTTATTGTTGATACAATTATAATGTATTTATAAAATATATAGTTTCATTTTATTATAATTTCTGATTTTTGGAGTCCAGTTCAGATTTACCTTCTCGTTTCGATATGGCGGTCAGTGTCAATTCAAAACAAAGTTTATTTTACTTGGAACATTGTGACTTCTGGGGTCTAGTAGGTACCTACTGGTTCTAGTACTTTTTGTCAGAAATCTTATATAATATATAAACGCGAAAGTTTTGTGGATAGATTTGTGACTTTTTCACCCAAAAACTACTGAACAAAGTTTACTTTGCAAAAATATAGCTTATACGTCAGAATAACACATGTTAATATTATAAATGCGAAAGTGTGTAATATAGCCGTTTATTACTCTTTCACGCAAAAACTACTGAACAGATTTTGATGAAATTTTAGTGATATAGCTTGTGCATCAAATAACACATAGGCTATATTTTTTATTGAAATTTATCGCCGGTGAGGCCGAGGGCACATCTAGTATAGTAGGCTATAATTTAAACAGATATTATGTAAATTGGGCGAAATATAATGATAAATGTCAAGTAAGTGTGAAGCAGATGGTTGCGCGGCTCAGCCAGTATATATAAATCTTATATATAAAATTCTCGTGTCACAGTTTTCGTTCCCATACTCCTCCGAAACGGCTTGACCGATTCTCATGAAATTTTGTGAGCGTATTGAGTAGGTCTGAGAATCGGCCAACATCTATTTTTCATCCCCCTAAATGTTACCACCCCTAACGTTTTTTTATATATATAAAATTCTCGTGTCACAGTTTTCGTTCCCATACACCTCCGAAACGGCTTGACCGATTCTCATGAAATTTTGTGAGCGTATTGAGTAGGTCTGAGAATAGGCCAACATCTATTTTCAACCCCCTAAATGTTAGGGGTAGTCCACCCCTAATTTTTATTTTTATTTTAAGGCAAAACAACGTTTGCCGGGACAGCTAGTAATTAATTAACATTATGTGGAGTGAAGTAGCCGGTAAGTATATGTATAATAAATAAAACAACCTAAAGCTAAGCTATAATAAAATATAATGTATAGTAACAAATTACATTTAGCTTACAATTAACTATATGTAAAAAAGGCATTACATTAATATTTATCTCATTGCTAGCAATGTACGTCAGGTTGACCATACGGTTCCTCCTGGAAACCATCATGTTAAATTCTTGGTGAATTAACCACGATCACTGACCTGACCTCATAATCATCTTATTACCCTCCACTGGTGCCCCGCCAGCGTATATAGTTAGCGCAAGCACCAACGAGTGTACCATAAAAAAATTATCTATGCATATATTTAAATAATTTACAAACTATAATCTTTTTGAGTATAAAACTTATGTTTACAACAAGTCATAGTCGTCGTCCTCACGCTTCCGTTTCTGAGCCGTCTGTTGCTGTTCATCCACCTCCATCTTGACAGGAGCTTGAGATGATGGGCCTGCAGTCACGCGAACCGCTGGTTTGGCGATCACCTGGTACAACAAACACAAATAACACTGCATAACTCAATATATTATTTTATTTTACTTGTTACACCTCAGGTCAAGGATGTTATGGATATGAAATTTCGGATACGGATAGGTTTCGGATATAGGAATGATTATTATACCGGATACGGATGCGGGTATGAAATTATTTCGGATTATCCGTTAGTTTCGGATACGGATATTATTTTTTTAAGGAATTTCAAAAGTAAATTACAAATAGCTAATAAAATGGTTACATAACGTGTCTCTATTAGGCTCCGCCCCTATCCGAAATAATCCGAAACTTTTATTTCGGATTCGGTTACGGTTACGAGTATTTTTTTATATCGGATATCCGATAGTTTCGGTTACGGTTACGGAGCTCCTTAACATCCCTGCCTCAGATATGGTTTGGGTGTTTTCTATATATATTATGTATGCATTGCATATATGTTATAGGGGGATCACTGTACGATGACACGAACAGCTCCGCTTTATAGGAGTATTCCAATATAACGCGTTTTATACCCCATATATTAGTGTGGTTCCAACTCCCCGCCGGACCCCCCTAAACTATACTATTTTATAAATAAACTTACGTCATTTTAATAAAGCTGAACTTTATATATATTATTGAGAGAACTATTAAACTGAGTTTCCTAAATTGCCAGACAGTTTTCTTGGTTCCTTATCCTACCAGACTCATTGAAACCGTATATTGGGAAACCGTAGATTAGAAATGACTTAAAATAACGAATTTGATATGAATTTTTTTACACCTTTGTTACCTGCCAAAGGAACCACGATCCAGGTTTCATGTTTGGGGATCGTTCTTACCTGTGTTGGGGACACACATACAAGAACTTTCACGTTTACTAAAATGACGTACGTCTGGCAGTCGTGGGCTCTTGGGCTACAAGCTCAGCTTATGACTAGATTGTGCAGAGTGGATTGTCTAGGTTATTATTACTAGCTACTCTGTATGCTATCCTTTCTAATATTATAAATGCGAAAGTAACTTTGGCTGTCTGTCTGACTCGTTTTCACGCCTAAACAGAATTTAAATGAAATTTGGTACACAGACAGTCAAGACCCTGAGAAAGGACATAGGCTACTTTTTAATGCGAATAAAGGGTGGTAAGGGGTTGAAAGGGGAGATAAAGGGTTCTATGGAAATATCGTCATTTTTAAAACTAAAATCTTGAAAATTATTTTCTAGGCTGTTCATTAAATATAAATAAATATGACTAAGTTTGTAAAATTGTTACCCTTAAGGGGGTAAAAAATAGGGGATGAAAGTTTGAATAGAAAATAGTCATTTTTGAAACTATAACGAGGAATCTTTTTTTCTTTGCCTTTTTTGAGTTAGTTGTTAAATATTTTTTTCCATATTTGGTCAAGGTCACAATAACGCGGACGAAGTCGCGGGAACAGCTAGTTCTATATATATAAAATATCTTACTCTATCAACAGTTTCTAAATAATCATTAACTCACTAACCTTACTAGTTGAAGTGAACTTCAGTACAGGTTTCGGAACAACATTAGGTTTGGATACATTCACTATGGTTCCCGGCGGCCTCTTTACCACCACATTTTGATGGCCGGGTGTAGGTTTTGCTGTTGTTATAGTTTTGATTGCTGGTGTGGACACAACAGTGGGTTTTGTGATCACCTTCTTGGTTGCAGGTTTTAATCTGTAGTTCACTCCTGATAAACAATATCTGAAAGATAGGATTCAATTATTATATACTAGCCGTGCCCGCAGTTTCATCTGCATGAATTTTATAGCCTATGTGTTATTCTGATAAGCTATATAACTGTAAAGTTTCATCAAAATCTATTCTGCAGTTTTTGCATGAAAGAGTAACAAATATCCATCCGTACTCATCAACTTTTGTGTTTATAATATTAATAAGATTTATTCTCTACTATGATGTTTACAAAATCAAATTCGATAACCGTAAAAAAATGCTGTTCAACAGATATCACTGGATTATATGGAATACCTATATTTTTATTATATAATCGAATGCCTTATAATATTTATTATAAAATTCTCACTAAAATAATTTAAAATGATGCAATAATTGATAAATATAGGGTATGCTCATGACCAAGTTACAAAACTCAAGTTTCTCTTTGTGTAGATACCAATAATTAATTATACTTAAATAGTGCTTCTCTGGATGTCATCAAGAGAAGATGGCAATATGTACATGTATATGTACAAGTTATTAAGTGTTAAGTCTGTGTTGTTTAGAGGTTTAGCACACTGCCTTACCTCTAATGGTCACAGATTCATATCCTTGCATGGTACAGACATTTGTATATATGAGAATGAATGTTTATATATGTCTGGGTGATTTTTATATATCCTAATATAATAAATGCGAAAGTAACTCTGTCTGTCTGTCTTTTAATAGCTGTTATTGTAAATGTAGTCTGTTATTTAAATAATATTTGGTACACAGATAGTCTAGACACTGAGAAAGGACATAGGCTATTTTTAATGTGAATAAAGGGTGGTAAGGGGTTGAAAGGGGGAATAATATGTTTTATGGAAGAATCATCAGTTTTGTAGCTAATATATTTTTATATAAAATATATCTGTGTATTTTTAACAATTTTTTACCACCCATAACACAAATGCTGCTTAGGTTCGTACTACATGGCGCTGTGTGAATTAACTTAAAAATTATAAGGTTCTAGAGAAAGAATTACTCAATGCTTATTCATTTGACTGCTACTGAATGCAATGACTAGATGGAGTCATAACAATTCAATTCCAAATATGAGTATGAGAGGTACTATGGGTGACACTGTTATATGATGCTATTTATGTATGCAGGCGTAGACTAACAGTTCCAGCTGGGGGGAAGGAGACTGGTAGTAATGTGGACTAATGATTCCATTGCTAGCAATGTACCATGTCAGGTTGACCTCCATGCGGTTCTCTCTGAAAATCATCGTGATAAATTCCCGGTGAATTTGTCCCATTGGGCTAACTGATCTAACTTCATGACATCCTATCATACTCGACTGGTGCCCCGCCCGCGTAAACCGTTAGCGCAGGCGAGTGCACCATTCCATTATCATCCTTTAAAAAAAAACGGTTCCAGCTGGGGGAAGGGGATTGTTAGTAATGTGGACTCATGTCAGGTTGACCTCCACGCGGTTACCCCTGAAAACCATTGTGTTAAATTCCTGGTGAATTTGTCATGATGGGCTAACTGACCAGACCTCATGCTCATCTTATCATCCGCCACTGGTACTCCGCCAGCGTAAACCGTTAGCGCAGGCGGACGGTCCATTCCATTATCATTCATAAAAAAAAACGGTTCCAGCTTGTTCATCATTCCAATATCAATAAAAATTACACTTACCGATCGGGTGGTAATCTCAAACCACAATGTGGCCTGATCAAAGGTAACGGGTTCACATTTTTCACCCTAGCAATTTCGAGAAGCACTTCCCGCTGAGGAGGGCTGGTGAAAGATTTATCCAACTGCATCTGCACGGCTAACCTCACATCATCTAAGTCTAAGGTTTTCTTCTTTGCATGATTAGCAAATACACGCGCGTCATCCAAAATTGAGGTTACGTAGCGGTACGTGAACTCCAATAGTTGGTTTACCACCCTCGGCTCATAGTCTGCGATACCTACTTCTTTCATAATGGACATGATAACTTGAGCGTCTTTCGGGACATATTTTGTTTGCGTGTTCGACTTTGATTTATCTTTTTCCGACATATTGATTTGTATTTATTTTTACACGTAGCACTAAATCACTATTAAACTATTCTTGGAGTCTTTAAACATATAGAATAATCGGATAACTGATAATAATCAAATAAATAATAAACAAACAATTTCACATTTTCGGCAGCTCAGGAAAGTCAGTACAGATCATAATACAGAATTGAGAATTCTGAGACAACAGATTATTACTCTATGTTGTCAATCAAACTGTCAATTGTGCCACTAAGTCTTTATATAGTCTGTGGTCTCTACAGCACCAACCAATTACAAAAAGAGTATTCACGCCCATACGTTAGAGATTATATTTGACATATATTTTTTCGATTATTCCATAGTATGGTATTAAGAATGTTGGTTGAATCTGAAATTGGGTTTAAGCTGTGAGCTTGTAAACTTTTCAATTTATAAAACACGTTTAAGTAATTTGAAAAACAAGGTGATTTCTCAACAGTTGTAATTTTTATTTTGAGCAGACGCCTATATAAATGAAATTTTACGTAACTGAGTATTCCGCAATGTTGTTTATGTCAATTCAAATTAAGAATGCTTAATATATAAGCTGCTTATTCAGTAACAAAGATACAAACTTGAATTTGTATATCTGTTTATAATACTAGTCGTTTCATGCTTCTTGGTGGAGAAACAATAGTTAGTAATATTAGTACTGTGGCAATCACTACAATAATAATAATCTCAGGACAATTCACACAGCAGCGCCATCTAGACCCAAGTTAAACTAGCTAAAGCTTGTGTTATGGGTACTAGACAACTGATACAAATAATCAATTTTACCACTGGAGGAACAAGCCCAAAAATCCTTGGTACTCGCGGCCGCACCTCAACTCGTTATTTTATAAATACAATTGACGTATTGTAAGTAGTATATTGCTTGCGTCAATATGATAATTAGTATATTCCTTGCACTTAGTTAAAACACACGCCTTTTGGTCGACTTAGAGTTGACCATTCGGTTTTGTGTATTTTACAAAATAAAACAGATTTCCATAAGAGGGCCTTTAACTCACAGCATACAAACCCTGAGATTCTCACGCCCATCTCATATGTGGCACCCATACTATGTATGTGTATTTTACAAAATAAAACAGATTTCCATAAGAGGGCCTTTAACTTACAGCATACAAACCCTGATATTCTCACGCCCATCTCATATCTGGCACCCATAGTATGGATTACTTTTATCTTATACCTACATAATTTCGATTTAATGCAATGGATATTCTTTGGTACCCATACCTTAGAGGAAGTGAAGATGTACATAGATTTTTTATAGAAATAGAAATAATCTTCATTCAAATAAATTCAATAGATGCACTTTTGAATAGTCATATTTTTTATTCTACCACTCATTCAGAACGCAGATTCATCACAAGAAGAATGAGCTAGAAACTTGTGTGTTGCTCTTTTGAATAGATGTTATGAGAAATAATACACAATTTATAATAACCATTTCAATTTATTCGGTTAAAATATGAAATAACTTACGTGTACAGTAAAAATAAGTTTTAGATAGTCATCGAAATAAACAAAAAAATAACGCTAGAAGCTTCGGCAAGGGCGCGCTCAACTTCGCGGCCGTTCCCGCTCCCAGCGACGCGACTACGATAAACCTTGTTCTCCAAGTGTACTAAAATACATTCTAACGATTATATTATTGTAACTTGCATTATTAGGTACATTTTAACATATAAATGGACAATTTGGACGTACAGTTGTGATTATTCACTATAGTGATAAAAGAAAGGCCTAATGTATTATGTTAGCTTCACTTTCGTTCCGTTTAGTCTATCATTTTTATATTTACAGATATATCCTTACACCTAAATTATTGTAGGTAGGTATACTCCCAAAGACTCTTTAAGTTTTTTTTTATTAAGTATATAATTAATATCAACAGTATATTATATGAAAAGCTAAGTTAATCAAGTTGATTAACTATTTGAATAGATTTGTATTTGTGTATTAGAAATGGGAAAAGCAATGCGTCGATTTCGCGCCTTTTCCATCCGCCATTGATTGCAGGAACAAAAGTAAAGTAACATGTGTGACAGCGAAGCGGTCGCACCATTGAGGTGATATATACTAACATACTAGAGAGAACTCTAAACAACCGTTAAGTACTTTGAAAAAAGTGTTGTAATTCTTCCTTTGCTACAATTATTCACTTGTAGCTATTTATTGGATTCCATTTTAGGCGGATAATTTATTAGCCGTTATTTATAAGCATTTTATTGTAACTGGAGTTTCGTTATTCGCATTTTAATTTAATAGAGAATATCTAAACACCATTCAATTATACTTTTTTTTGTAATTATAACAACCAGCTTTCTGCTTCATAAAATGTCAACTCAAGTTCATTACACTCGATGCAGGTAGATTGGTAGTATTTCGAAGCAAAAGAGTTCCATTTTGCGGTGCTATAGCCGCAATAGATTGGACTGTGCAGTGTCTCCTCTAGTAGGTATACCACCTCAATGGTCGATACAATGTCTGGTGTAAGAAAGTGAACTATTGTCGTCCGTGATATGTTTAGAGCCGAAGTAAAGATGACTTGACCGCTTCCATAAGGGACATTATATAGAAAAGAATGATATATTTATTGCTTTTCTTACCAACTCTGATTATACAAATGTTACATCACAAACGTGTTGCCGTCCGGTTTTACACTATAGCTAAATTGTGCTATTTACTGTCACCGTTCGTCATTCTTTAATAACCTTAATTTATATTTATATCACCTAATGAGGTTTCAAACGATAACCTACTTTAATCCTCGCACGTTGAGTCTCATTATAAATTGAGATTCTCTATGGTACAGGAAGGCTAAAAACCCACGTTACCAGAATCGTAACAGCATATTATATAACCGATATAAATATACTAGTCCATAAATATTGCATCCTCATCGCAGGATACCTATCAAACTTGGTCGGTTATATAAACATCCTATTGCTGGTAAAGCGGGTTTTATAACTCTCCAGTTCGCGGCAAACAACTTTAAACAAGACCATAGACAAGTAATCTGGTGTGTTTAAAACATAATACTGAATTTATTTGCCGGTATCTATGGCAGTTACCGACTTGATGCGAGTCGTCAAATATTTTTTTTTATAGTTGACGATTGTCTAGGTACTTAAAAATAGTTTTGTAAAAATCGCACTTGAAACTATGTCGCTTAGTACGAATTTCGCAAAACTATTTTCTTTTCACACCTTCCGCATTGTATTTCCGAGGTGTTATACTTATTCTGTTCAAAAACACGCATTTATAATATACTAATCACGTTATTAAGTATACAAATACTAACTTACTCGATATAACGAAAAAAATTGCACGATTGTTTATGTCTGTTTGCCACGAGCAACGTGCGAGGTAGTCTATAAGAGACTGCTTAGTAAAAATGTACTTACACTAACCTCGTAATTTATATAGGGTTTCAACAACGCAGCTAAGGATCACCTACAGAAACTATTAACATCACAAAATCTCAATTAACTATTTCACAATGTGTGTGGCTAAGGAACAAACATCACGCGTCCAAATAATACAAAAGTACAGATTAAACAATGGCACTGTACGTATATACGTATTGGCATATTAGTAATAGAGGGGAACATTGCAATTGTGATTATTCATATTAATTATAACAATACTCATAAAATTAAAAATCACGATCAAAAACATATCGATAAGCTCAACTTTTTATTAACAAATGTAATTTAATGTATTACATTTTGGCGCCAATTCTGATACACGACCGAACTAATCTCGCACTATGTATTTGACGCTATCCCTTTTTTTCAAATACAATAGAAAAGGATAACCTACATTTAGACAAGTAATATTTAGTTTTGTGGTGTAAAAGTATCGACAAAATATACCGGTGCACGAGAAACACGAATGTGAATTGATGAATCTACAGTTTCTCGATTAATTTATAATGGAGAAATGTGAAATCCACCTTTAAACATGTAATAATAAAGTTCATTTTACATAGGCAGCCCTCAACTCACATTCGTACAGCTCGAAACCGGAAATACACACAAATAAAGGTCCATAGACAAAAATATGGTAGAAAATTACATTACCGCCATTTTTTTTCTACAAAAATATCAAAGTCAGTCCGTGAGCCGAAATCACCAATATTATTCAGTAGGTATTCCGCAAAAGGCACTGCTTGATGCAAATTAACTGTTGACATCCAAAACCGGGTGGGGGTATAGGAACCAAACGTCGAGCTCAGACGAAAGCAAACAAATTCAGATCTTACCCTACATTATCATTAGAATAAGGAAACTACATGAAACAGGCCTGACAACCGTTTACAAACAAAACAAATCGATACTTAGTGGAGTACAAATCCTCTACGCTAAATATATTTTGATAAGCTGCCTATATTTGAGACATCCACTCTTTATATGTGACTGAACGAGTCGAATCAGTTTATTTAGTTTGCACTTGTTTCCGTCTGTTTGTATTGCACATAATCAACATCTGACAAATATTTACATCAGTTGGGTTCACAGATAGCTTGCCGCCGAGTGGCCGCGTGCTGGCGGCCCAGACATTCATGCGATAATAGTCCTTGTTATACATATGTATACAGACGATTATATCTCGGCGGTGAGCTCGGTCGTAACCTGTAACAGAACAATGTTGTGAGTGAAGAATTAGGTTATATTTCGCGCAAGTTTTTTTCATTACTGAATTTTTTATTATAGAATAGAAAATAATTTATTCAAGTAAACTAACTTTGAAGCACTTTTGAATAGTCATTACTTTTTTTTTCAATCTACCGCTCATTCGGAAAGCAGTCTGATCGCAAGAAGAATGAGCAAGAAACATGCGTGTTGCTCTTTGAAATAATTTAGTTGTTACTTTACATTTTTAAGTTGAAGTGTGTGAAATACAAACTACCAACTAGCACTAATTCAATTAAATACTCAAATAGAGAAAATATTAAATATACAACCAACTGGTTGAGAACCAAATAAGAGTAAATCAGTCGTAGGGATTAGAGCAGACCAGTCCCTACAAGCAGCTGCACGAGTATGACGACGACCATATTTTAGGGACCCCAAAGACCCTGTCCTTAAGAATATCAAATTGACCGTGGTCGATTTTGATTCTTTTATTTTAATTGCGAAGCAGATTGCTTATATGCTGTATTGGGTTGAAGAATGTGATATAGGGAGTAAAATTATAGGGTGCAAAGGTAAAACAGCCTGGTCATTCTGAATGGCAAAACATGAGGCAACGGATGTCACGTGACGAAGTGGAGTTCATGTAGCATCAGGAAGGTCGTCCATCAGCTTGGTTGCCATTCCGGATGTATAGAGTGGGCGTACCTATGTGGTGAGCAGGGGCGGACTAAGGCCTAGGCATCCGAGGGCCCGTAATTTTTGGTGCCCTAAAATTAGGATTTCAATTTAGATTTTTTTTATACTACTATGGTAGCAAACAATCATTCGGTCCATCTGATGGTAAATGGCGACCATAGCCTATGGTAGCCTGAAACACCGCGGTATCACGTGCGCGTTGCCGACACTTAAGAAACCTCAATATATCCTTCTTAAAAACCCCATATTGATAGTTAATTATTATTTTTATTTAACAGACAACATTGGCTAGCGCCTGCTTTAGCCTTAGTCCGCCACTGCTGGTGAGTACACACTAACATGCTCGACTCCGATCGATCCCCCATCCAATTCAAACGGGGAGAAATTACGACGGCCTGAGCCGAGGTTCGAACCCTTAGCGGTACTCCCAGACTAAAGTCGTATCCGTCAGGCGGGAGTTGGCCTTCAGCCGCTCCATAAGTCCTTCCGCGGTTTTGTAATGCCATTTGCACTCGCCCCCTATCGTCTGGTGAAGCTGTAAAGGCCAGCTGCGGCTATCAGCATTAGAATAGTCCAGAAAAAAAACTACCTACAAACAGGGTTACTCGGAAAGGTAAGTATACTAAGTAAGCAAGTAAGTAAGTATACTAAGTCGCTAGCAATATAATATAATATTAATAACTAATTGATCTCGCGCGATAATATTTCGGAAAAACATTTCTTTTTCATAAAAAAAAAATCTATTACTTATTGCAAAGAATTGGCAACCCTATGCTTTGATATTTAATAAAAAAAAACGCGTCTTTATTTTTCTCTTATGTGGTGAGCGCACACTGACACGCTCGCTGCATCTTTACCTAAATATACAGGATGGTATACTCCACCACCTGAACACCACTCATCACCATCCACCGTCTATACTCGGGCGGTGCCCGCTCGCTACACACTAGCTACATATACAGGGTGCACCTATGTGGTGGGCGCGGGATGCGCGTGGTCGGCGCCGCGTATTCTGCCACCTGCACACACCCACCACTCACCATCCACCGTCCAGTTCTCGGGCGGTGCCCGCTCGCTACACACTAGCTCTATATACAGGGTGTACCTATGTGGTGAGCGCGGACTGCGCGTGGTCGACGCCGCGTACTCCACCACCTGCACACCATCCACCGTCCTATACTCGGGCGGTGAGGCTCGCTACACACTAGCTCTATATACAGGGTGTACCTATGTGGTGAGCGCGGGCTGCGCGTGGTCGACGCCGCGTACTCCACCACCTGCACACCATCCACCGTCCTATACTCGGGCGGTGAGGCTCGCTACACACTAGCTATATATACAGGGTGTACCTATGTGGTGAGCGCGGGTTGCGCGTGGTTGGCGCCGCATACTGCACTACTTGCACACCATCCACCGTCTATACTCGGGCGGTGAGGCTCGCTACACACTAGCTCTATATACAGGGTGTACCTATGTGGTGAGCGCGGGTTGCGCGTGGTTGGCGCCGCATACTGCACTACTTGCACACCATCCACCGTCTATACTCGGGCGGTGAGGCTCGCTACACACTAGCTCTATATACAGGGTGTACCTATGTGGTGAGCGCGGGCTGCGCGTGGTCGGGCGGCGGCTGGTGCGGCGGCGGCGGGGGCGGCGCTGCGTACTCCACCACCTGCACACCACCCACCACTCACATACGAGTACGTACTCACGCGCTACATCACTACCTATATGTATATATGTAACCTATTATATCTATATACCTATACATACGGAGTGCATTACCAGTATTGTATATATATATATACATGATTAATCGAAAAGGGTATGCTAAGCCGCTAGTATTATTTCTGGAAACGATTTCTATTTCGAATAAAAATAAACGTATTTTTTTTAAGAATTGGCAACCCTATAATTGAATACACAGTGACTATGCATATTATTGTTACAGATGCGTCACATACTACCTACACTCACGAATTCACCAGGAATTAAAAATCAAATTAATCTAGCGGTGACTTTGTGGAGGCCAACATGATGACAGATATATTCCTGACAGAGGAACTGAAATTTCTTACCTTTTTAAGTTTACGCATGCTTTTCTAAAAGAAGCACTTTTTACGAATAATACAACTGCCCGTTCTTGACGTGATTATTCATTATAATTATTAATCGGTTTAAAAAAAATCATATTGCTGTTTCCGAGAGGGTAAAATAATTACTAAAATGTAAAAAGTTTTGTTAATTGGCAACACTGTTATTTGAATAACCAGAAGCAAAAAGGCTAAAAAGGACTTGTTCCAGAGCCGTAAAATATTAAATAAAAATAAAAATAAAACTTCTAAGTGAAGCGTCCATTTTTTATGACCGTTTTCAGTACAGTTGTTGACCTTGAAATAGAACAGCTGATTTTAGGACTATGTATAGTATTAGATATTATTATTGTAATACATATTATTGTACTTTTATTTGACAACTTCCAATAGAGTTCTTGACCTCGTATTGAATAGCTGATTTTAAGACTGTATCTGTTTTCTGTCTGTAAGTTTCAGGGAAAGTTATAGAACGAAAGTTGTTGGTTACTATGGGTATTTTTATATCCTTGCGATTTAGTATATCCTTTCCGACTAACCTTGCATATATTATACTATATATAAATTATATATACAACTCAGATAACGCACTCGAATTACATATTAAAAAACATGACAACTCAGTCTTCGAGAATGGCAACACTTCAGACATACCGCAGTACAAGCATTTGTATTTATGTGTATGATTGATTGTATTTGTCTGGGTGTTTCTTATACATATTATGTATGTATTTACATACAAAGTATTTATTATATAAGTTGTCTAGTATCCATAACACAAGCGCAAGACAAGACAATTGACACAGCGCCATCTAGACCCATTGTAAGCAGAGCTTGTGTTATGGGTACTAGACAACTGAAATAAATACTTATATATTTTTGTTTTTTTGGTAAATACATACCGCTAGAGCACCGAGGCCGTCAATACAATCGTTGTGTATGTATATGTTATATTATCAATGTGAATTTTATTCTAGTTCAGTCTAATATTTGTATATATATATATATATATACAAATAAGACTAAACTATATATGTATATTTAATTTATATAATCAATATTAAGTCACCATCGAGTAATTCTGCACTTCCCGAAGGTTGACTGGTAAAGAATGTGTATTGTACCATAATTTATTGGTCAATAAAGTTTTAAATAAATACTATACACTTTTTTTTATATAAATAATAAATGTTGCCACATTTATTATTTATTAAAAAAAAAGTGTGCTCACATTTTCATTTACAAATATCTTTTTTCTGACTACGTATATAAGTGCAATAAAGAATATATTTAAATGTGGATCAAAATCAACATAATGTTAGAAACATAGCTTCCAGCGCTCATTTGCGCTGAACAAAAATATTCTATTTGTGTAAGTTATAAAGTGGTAATATATGAAGGTTTAGTTTACCACCTCCTGGTAGATGAGCTGCTTCCACTGCTCGACGGTGTGCTCGCGTTCATCCACCGAGTGATCGTACGCGGCCGGCGCCGGCTATAACACACATACAAACTCGCATTACACATATAAAATGGCACAGAGTATAAATATTACTATATTCTGGGGAGATAAAAATCATCACTCCTAAGATAATATGCTTCAATTCTTGTCCCTGACGGGTCTAGGTAGCGAACTTTGAAAAAGGGTGAGCACAATAGATCTCAGTGTATTGTTGAAAGTGGGCAGTTCTTCATATAATATGAATGACTGACCGACAGCATATGACATGGATGTATAGTTGACAGTGGACATTTCTACATGTAACATGAATGTATTCTTGAGAATGGGCAAATTCAAAATATCTTTATTCATACGATATGATATGTCAAATCTGCTGAAATTTCGTGGGCAGTTCTTCATATTTTTTTTATATAAATGTAATCTTGAGAGTGGGCAGATCTTCATATGATAAGAATATATTGTTGAGAGTGGGCAGTTCTTCATATGAGATGAATGTATGCTTGAGATTCCGTAAAGTCGACGGGTGAAAAACGATTGCACGCAACTAAAATGCCAATGTTGAGATGGAAGTGTGGTGTGACAAGAATGGATAAGATAAGGAATGAATACATTAGAGGAAGTATGAAAGTGGCGCCAGTGTCGGAGAGATTGAAGAGTGATTGTCTATCATGGTATGAACATGTAATGCGTAGGAATGAGGATAATATTTTAAGGAAGGTGTTACATATGAATGTGGATGGTTATAACGACAGAGGAAGGCCGAAAAAGAGATGGATAGACTGTGTGAAAGATGATATGATAAGAAAGGGAGTAAATAACGAGATAACTGCGAACAGGGATGAATGGAAGAAAAAAACATATTACGCCGACCCCAAATAAGTGGGATAAGGAAGAAGCAGATAATGATGTATTTTTGAGTATTGGCAGTTCTTCGTGTGACATGATTGTATTTTTGAGAGTTGGAATGTCGTGTTATTTTTTTTTTTATTGGGTTGTTTGGGCTATTGTCAGATGTGTAGCACCTGTAGCACTGCGACCTACATAGATCTATTGTGCTCGCCCTTTACAGAGTTCGCTACCTAGACCCGTCAGGGACAAGAATTGAAGGATATTCTTAGGAGCGATCGTTTTTATCTCCTCGGGAAAGAGTGTAAACTTTCCAAAGGAGATATTTCGTTTCTGCATGAGTGGGCTACAACCACATAGGATGTGAAGCGGCGTTTCCTCTTCAGTTTGGCAGAATCTGCAGATACTTGTCGTGCATAGGCCTAGCTTAGCCATATGCTTGTTCAATTTGCAGTGTCCTGTGAGGGCCCTAGTCATCATGCATATGTTGTTTTTACTCAATAGCAGTAATCTATTGGAGTATTTGGTCGTGAAGCCCGATATTAGGTCTTTTGAATGTGTTAATCCTGGCATTTCTTGCCAGTGATTCAGTGCTTCTCGTTTGGTTATTAATTTGAGATGTCCCAGTTTTAGGCAACGAGGCACACCACAGAAGGGTTCGGGGCCCAGTTGGACGGTGTCGTGTTACGTACCGCGTTGACCTCTCCCTCGTCGTACCAGACGTTGATGTATGGGTGCAGCAGCGCGTCGTCGACGGAGATGCGCCGCTCGGGGTCGATGACCAGCATGCGGGACAGCAGGTCGCGCGCCTGTGATGCCTATACAGACAAACATATACATGTTACTAATATTATCGTACTAATTCTGGTAAGCGCATACCACTTAATCGAATATCTAACAGCTATAATTGTGACTTTAGTGAAATAGATTTATTCTCCTGTAAACTCTCTTCTTTCAAAAACCAAATAATTAATGAACTGAGGCGTAAATATCATCTTTCGTAACTAACATAATAATTATTTGTAATAGTGTAGTCTACAGTGTATTCATCATAAAATTTTTAGTTTTCTTTGTATTGTTAATATAAAATAGTTTTGTTAAGAGTTGTTAGTGGTAGTTAATTAATAAGTAACATAATCTCTGTAACATGCCTTAGGCAGTATTGTATAATTATAGTAATCAGTGGTTAACGTAGTGGGTGACACATTTGTTAAAATTTATTAGTAAATAGCCATAAGTCATATGTATAATGTGTAACTGTTTGTTGACCTAAATAAAAAAAAATATATATATAAACGCGAAAGTTTGTGAGTATGGATGAATGTGTGGTTACATTTTCTTTTTCACGCAAAAAGTACTAAACGGATTTTGGTGAAACTTTACAGTATTATAGCGTATACATCACAATAACACGTAGGATATAATTTAAAAAGATATTATGTAAATTGGGCGAACTATAACGATAAATGACAAGCATGTGTAGACAAACTTTCGCGAATTAAGTGTTAGAAATATAAAGAATCTTTATTCTAATAAACTTAATATAATAACTTTTGAATAGTCATATAATAGTAATAGTGTTCCTTTTGTTTACTTTTTATGTACGTTTTCTTGGATCGTAGTATATGTGTGTTGTGTTGATTTGTTTATAATTTCTTTTATATTATATATATATATCGCGTACAAGCAGCATTCTGATTGGAAACCATCCAATTTAAATATGCAACGTAATGTAACAGACTTAAAAAATCAACCGAAGATCTAACGTACATTTTGTTCACTCCACCAAATTTGTAATAAATAGTATATTTGCCATTACATATTGAAATCTATCATTTCTACAACCCTGTAATCTGCGGATGACAACCTCACCTGCCATCCGAGCATTCGAGCCGCATCATCACATTTTTTTTGGCATGTGGTACGTGATGATGCGGCTCGAATGCTCAGATGGTCGGTGAGGTTGTCTTCAGCAGGTTACAGGGTTGTAGAAATGATAGATTTCACTTGATAGTCTCGAATTTAATGGCAAATATACTATTTATTACAAATTTGGTGGAGTGAACAAAATGTACGTTAGATCGGTCGGTTGATTTTTTAAGTCTGTTACATTACGTTGCATATTTGAATTGGATGGGTGTGCGAATCAGAACGCTCTTTTGTGTTGCGTTTACGGAAAGCAAATTTAGTACAGAAATAACAAGCTAGAAAGTTACATATTGCTGTTTTAAATAAATGTATTCAGCATCACATATTTCAGATTAGGAGTCAATACAATCTACTAAATGGAAGATTGACAAAAGTGAATAAAATAGAAAACTCTGCACTCAAATAAATTTAAGTTTAAGCACTTTTGAATAGTCATATAATAACCCTTTGTTTACTTTTTATGTACATTCTATTGGAGCTGAGTATATGTGTTGTGTTTGTTGTGTGTTGTGTTGTAATGTGATGTGTTGTGCAGTATTGTGTTATGTAGTGTCGTGTGGGGTGTACCTTGAGGCGGTTGTGCTCGTTGCTGTCGGAGGGGAACAGCACGTCCGGGAACAGCCTCTCGAAGGAGTACCCGGCGTAGCGCGGCCTGTTCTCCACGTAGTTGCGCACCGTCGGCTGCAGCCGCGCCATGAACGCCGCCGACGGCGTGCCCAGTTGCTCTGTATCATCATCATCATCATCAACAACATCATAATAATCATCAACATTCACGCAATCAGATATGGGATAGTGTGGGACACTGTCCATGTCGATGTTGTGGTGAACGTAGCACTTAATATGAACATGGGCTTTGTTAGTAATGTGGATTAAGAACCCCATTGCTAGCAATATACCATGTCAGGTTGACCTCCACATGATTCCCCCTGAAAATCACCGTGATAAATTCATAGTGAATTTACTACGTTGGGCTAACTGATTTGGCCTTATGCACATCTTATCATCCTCCACTGGTGCCTCACCAGCGTAAACCGTACGCGCAGGCGGGAGCACCATTCCATTATCATCCATAAAACTGCTTTATTGACTGTAAAGCAGTTTTATGGATCATTTATAACACTAGAGGTACTACTGAGATCAACCTAAGCACTCGCTTGAAATATCAAAAACTAGAACAACCCCAATTACTCAGAAGTTGTTGCTTCCGGCTAAATGTTTGTAGCGTGCGAGGAATCAAACCCATGACCGTCGGAAGTAAGGTGATGTGTTAAACAGTTACACGACCGAAGCCCTCAATAATTAAAACAGTATATTTCATTAAGATTCACAACAGACTGTGAATTGTTTGACATGATTTCTACGGCTACCTTTTACCATCGCACCACTCGCCATCGACAGGGAATTCATCCCCACACGCTGGAACCTAAGTGGTCTCGGACAGTGCGGTTTCAGAGGAGCTTCCTCCCGCGTACACTTAGATTGTGGAATGAACTACCTGCCGAGGTTTTCTCGAGAGACTACAGCATGGGGTTTTTCAAGAAGGGTATATTAAGGTTTCTTAAGGGTCGGCAACGCGTATGTGACACCCCTGGTGTTTCAGGCGTCCATAGGCTACGGTAACCGTTTACCATCAGATGGACCGTATGCTTGTTTGCCACCTAAGTGGTATATATAAAAAAAAAGATATAGGATATATTTTTATGTTCTGACCTATAATTTTGTTCCACTGGTCGATGTGGTCAGTTCCCGGGAAGAGTACCCCGCCGCGGATCATCTCGCCCATGATGCAGCCGACCGACCAGATGTCCACGTTCTCAGTGTAGCCCATGCCCAGGATTACCTTAAAAAAAAATATAAAAATATTAATTGATAAAAAATAATAACCACTTTTTCTAGTCTACCACTGGTGGTAGACAGTAAAAAGAATGTCGTATTGATAGAATCAGTATGCAGGTACATCTCTGCACTATACTGTACTGTAAAAAGTGTGTTATATTGATAGAATCAGTATGTAGTGGTACATCTGTGCACCGGAGGTAGACTGTAAAAAGTATGTAATATTGAAGGAATCAGGAAGTAGTTGTACACCTCTGCACCTAGTTATACTGCAAAAGGTATGTAATGCAGTGGCACATCTCTGCACCAGAGGTGTCTAGACTGTAAAAAGTATGTAATATTGAAGGAATCAGGAAGTAGTTGTACACCTCTGCACCTAGTTATACTGCAAAAGGTATGTAATGCAGTGGCACATCTCTGCACCAGAGGTAGACTGTAAAAAGTATGTAATATTGAAGGAATCAGGAAGTAGTTGTACACCTCTGCACCTAGTTATACTGCAAAAGGTATGTAATGCAGTGGTACATCTCTGCACCAGAGGTAGACTGTAAAAAGTATGTGATATTGATTTGATCAAGATATAGTGGTACACCTCTGCACCGGACTGTAAAATGTTTGTAATGTTGATAGTGTGATGAGAGGATCGGTGGTGGTAAATAACACAGTAGTGTTAGAACTTGTGTTTTGATTCTTACATTTTGAAATTGTATGAACTGATAACTGTTGATATCTAGACTATATATATTAAAAGCTACGTGAATTACGTGACGTTAGATAAAGTGACCTATCTAACGTACACTGGCACAGGACTGTAAAATGTTTGTAATGTTGATTCCGGTGGTGGTAAATAACACAGTAGTGTTATTGTGTTTTGATTCTACGTTTTGAAATCTACTACCATATTACATTAGAATCAGGATGTAGTGGTACTTCTCTGCACCAGAGGTAGAATGTAAAAAGTATGGTAGTATTTATAGAATCCGAATGGGTTGGTAAACCTCTGCACCGGAGTCAGACTGCAGAAGTTATGTAATACTAGCTGTGCTCGCGATATACATATTTTTTGGGTAACTTAAAACGTTTACGCAGCGCACTTCGCTTGTATGATCGTAGCGTATTGTTATATAGCTTAAAGCCTTCCTCGACAAATGGACTATCTAACACAAAAAGATTTTTCATTTCGAACCAGTAGTTCTTGAGATTAGCGCGTTCAAACAAACAAACGAACAAATTCTTCAGCTTTATAATATTATTTATTTTATTTTATTTTTATTTTTACACTTTTTTGCACCAGTTACAGAAAATATTAACTACTATAAAAATATGTATAACAATGACGAGTACAAAAGGCGGCCTTATCGCTAAGCAATCTCTTACAGCAACCTTTAGGTAGACAGTGAAAATATAAGAAAAAGAGTAGGTGATACAAATGACAACACAACTAAGATGGGTATAAATAATACATGCAAATATACATAAATATATATAGACATACATATGTACATACCTATATAAACATACATAAACTTAATAATACACATATCCATGAAAAGTTTGAAGGAAAGAAAGGGACTGTAAGAAAAGGGAAAAGTAGAACTAAAGGGAAAGGAAATGAGTTTTTACTGATGCTTTAAAGCTAGCAAGAGATTGAGCGCGCCGAATAGGAGCGAGAAGAGAGTTCCACAACCTAACAGCCTGGAGCCTATTAGCTATATTATAAATATATTGATACAATCAGGATGTGGTGGTAGATACCTCTGGCGCGCGGTAGTATCTGGTGACGACGTAGGGAGTCATCATGAAGGTGGTGCCGGCGGTGCGCGCCAGGCCGAAGTCCAGGATCTTCAGCGTGCAATCACTCTTCACCACTATGTTGGACGGCTTCAGATCCTATCAATATAAAACCATGAGTATGATTGTTTGTATCGGTCTGGGTGTTTCCTATATATAATATGTATGTATTTACAAAAAAAAATATCTATGTATTTGTATCAGTTATCTAGTACCCATAACACAAGCTTTAGCTAGCTTAACTTGGGTCTAGATGGCGCTGTGTGAATTGTCCTAAGATTATTATTATTATTATTATTATTATATATAGGTTACTAGCTGTTACTTTTGTATTCGTATGCTTTTTTTATGTAAAAGACAATCTATTTTAATATTAATTTTTATTTAGCTCCTTTCAGTCGTTTAGATGTCAAGTCAAGATTACAATCAAACAGACAGAAGCTTTCGTAATTACAATATTACATATAGTATAGAGGAATGAAGGATTGTTAGTAAAGTGGGCTAATGAAACCATAGCTAGCACTCTACTATGTAAGGAAGACCTCCACGAGGCCTACATAAATCAAAGTACTAATATCGCTATTAAAAAACAGGGATTAATGATAGAGAGGTGAAAATTTAGTTTAGTGTGCATTTTTAATGCAAAATCACAAAGAAAATCTGTTAAAAAAAATGGGGTTGGCCACCCTTATTGCTTAGGAGTATAAAAAATAGATAACCTATTCTCAGACCTACCAAATAATATAAAATTCAATTTCATCAAAAACGGTTAAGCCGTTTTGGAGAAGTATGGCAACTAACACTCTACCACGAAAATTTTATACATTAGACATTTATTTAGAATTTCTCACCCGGTGTATAATCCCAGCGAGATGCAAGTGTTTGATACCGCATAGCATCTGATAGAGCAGATAGCTCATCCGCTCGTGGTCCAGGTCCATCTGGATCACCTGGCAGAGATTGGCGTCCATCAGCTCCATCACCAGGTACACGTCCTGGAACTCCTCGAGGCTCCGCTGTGGCGTGAACGCGTTTAGCAGGCCGATTATCTGGAACATCATCATTTCGAGATTATCATTGGGACTTCGTGCACTGGGATTTCGTGCAACTTCATTACAATTCGTATGTTAGTAGAAATGGGTTGAATTAATGAAAATCTCTTTATTGTTCTGATCACAGAATATACAATCACATGAATGAATATTTCTAAAACGATAAAAAATATATTACTATTATAGCAAGATAGAGGATTTGACTCCTTGCTCGGTGTACACATTTGTATTATTATTTAACACAAGTATAAACAAGTAAATCAATATTTAAAAGAGCAACACACAAGTTTCTTGCTCATTCTTCTCGTGATGAGTCTGCATTCCGAATGAGCGGTAGAATAAAAAAACTTGACTATTCAAAAGTGCTTATATTAAGTTTATTTGAATAAAGATTATTTCTATTTCTATGGTTGTTTGTATTTTAGATGGTGTCTAAAATACCATACGGTACAACCATATGGTGGATGGTTTGGGTTGTCAAGGTTTATTATTATTCGACGTCTCGTTGCCAAAAGTTGTAAGTGAGATGGTAAGCAACGAGGGGTTCTGGTTTACGGTACTCTCCTTTTGTGAGGCTGTGATGAGGAAGAACGCGTTTTTTTTCGGTCTACTCTAATGCTGTTGGCCGCAGCTGGCCTTTACAGCTTCACCGGACGATAGGGGGCGAGTGCAGACAATCTAATCTACCAGAATATTATGTTCTGTGCTACCGTAATTTCATTCTTATTTCTAAACTAATTGTGGTATTCTGATATATAGGCTATATTATTTTAAAGTTTCATTAAAATCCATTCAGTAGTTTTAGATGGCATTTCAAACCCACGGAAGGTCTTATGAAGCGGCTAAAGGCCAACTCTTGCCTGACGGATACGACTTAGTTTGAGGGTACCGCTGGAGGTTTGAACCTTACTCAGGCTGTCGTAATTTCAATCCCCGTTTGAATTGGACGGGGGATCGATCGTGGTAATTAACGTAAGTGTAAAGCCAGGTATATTTTTTTTACTAGTGTTTTGAGTAGTCATGCTCACTAAAATGCCCAGACTTGTGGCGGCGTGGTGGGCCGGGTCATTGGGCTCCCTAAAATATGGTCGAGCACAGTGATGGCTGGCTCATCCGTCATACTCGTGAACGGGTGCTGCTTGTAGGGACTGGTCTGCTCTAATCACTATGACTGATTTTCTCTTATTAATTGTTTAACCAGTTGGTTATATATTCAATATTTTTTCTATTTGAGTATTTAATTGAATTAGTGCTAATTGGTGGTTTGTATTCACACACTTAAACTTAATAATGTAAAGTAATAATAAAATTATTTAAAAGAGCAACACGCAATTTTCTTGCTCGTTCTTCTTGTGATGAGACAGCTTTCCGAATGAGCGGTAGATTAAAAAATGTAATGACTATTCAAAAGTGCTTCAATGTAAGTTTATTTGAATAAATGATTTGATGATTTCTATTCTATTCTATTCTATTCTACTATACTTACATTTTTATGATTGACGAGCTTCATCAATTTGAATTCGCGATACGCGCGTTTTGCATGCGTCACATTCTGGAACGGCCGCGAAAGCTTCTTTATTGCGACGTTCTGCTGTGTGACGGTATCGTAAGCGGCGCTGTGAGCAACATCAGTCAGTTAGTGACTCAACAGGTAAGTTACAAGAGTTACCACTGGTTTAGCCGGGGAAATGTACTAATATTATAAACTGGTCCATGGTTTCACCTGCGTCAAATATATAGCCTGTTTTATTCTGGTGTATATGTTATATTATTGTAAAGTTTGATTAAAATCCATTCAGTGTTCATAATATTACTAAGATACTAGTGCCCCCAACCCCGTGGTCGAAATTCAACTGTAATAAAAAATACAAAAAGTTCGGTGAACCATCAATAACAAATACATATATTTTAACAATAAACAAAAGAGTATATATGCGTGGGTGTAATGTTTTTTTCTAAATTTAATGTATTTTTATACTTATTAAAAAAATATTAGCATTCTGGACTTCTTCTCTATATAAACTCTAAGTGTAGGAAATATCATATTCCTGCCTTTGCGCAATTTTTGTATAATTAATATAATAAACACACATTTTTTATAATTAATATTATATATATATATATATAAATTAACAAAGTAACTATAACATTTGCACTATATTGTGTGTTCCTTGCTTGCATATATTATGTGCATATATTATTTATTTAGGAAGATTAAGGGTGTAATTTTACATGTTACTTGTCATATCAAATTATCCTATGCCAAGTAATAATCTTCGCCAACAGTAAGTAAGTTATGCTGTGTGTGTGTTTGTATGTATGTATGTGAATGCGTCTGTGTTATACTATCCTAGAACAATACAAGTTATAGCATGGATGCAACAGACAGAGTTACTTCATTAAGCACAATGAAACATTCCTTCATTAGTTATTAAGGTGCATATAGAAAATGCTCAAGTAAACAATTGTATTAATCAGGTTAATATGTTATTATGTATGATTCAAGCGACTGTTGTCCTGGGGACATGGCAGCTTACCACACCACCCCCCCTGCACCCATGCCGTTGAATGTGAGTTGGGTATAACGGGCCGGTATTGTGAACACCGAATGTCCCAAACTCACAGAGTAAAACTGATCCATACTCTAGGCTACTGCGTCAACTACAAAGAGAAATTATAACTATTTGTGCTGATAGCGCAATATCCAATTGCGTAATCATTGTAAACATCACTCGATACAACAAGTTTGGTGGGATGTATTGGGTTGGTGTTGTGAACACCGAATGTCCCCAACCCACAGAGTAAAACTCGTCCACACTGCCTTTTGGGCTACTGTGATAATTATAAACAGAAATTACTATTGGTGCTGATAACGCAATTGTATGTAAACAATACGCGATACAACAATTTTGGTGTGATGTATTGGTCCGGTATTGTGAACACCGAATATCCCAAACCCACAGAGTAAAACTCATCCATACTCCCTTTTAGGCTACTGTGTCAACTATAAACAGAAATTACAACTATTTATGCTGATAGTACAAGTTTATGTGAACCACAATTTTGGTGTGATGTATTGGTGCTGATAACCCATAGAGTAAAACATCCATTTTATGTAAACAATAAAGAGAAATGACAACAATTTTGGATGTGATGTATGTGGTCCGGTATTGTGAACACCGAATATCCCAAATTCACAGAGTAAAACTCATCCATACTCCCGTATTTAAAGGCTACATAGTGTCAACTATAAAGAATTTTGGTGTGATGTATTGGGCAACTATTTATGCTGATAGTACAAGTTTTTAGGCTACAGTATCAACTATAAAGAGAAATTACAACTATTTATGCTGATAGTACAAGTTTATGTGAACCACAATTTTGGTGTGATGTATTGGGCCGGTATTGTGAACACCGAATATCCCAAACCCACAGAGTATCCCTTTTAGGCTGCCGTATCAACTATAAAGAGAAATTACAACTATTTATGCTGATAGTACAAGTCTAAACCGAATATCCCAACCCACAGAGTAAAACTCATCCATACTCCATTTTAGGCTACTGTCTATATGTACAACAAAATCTATGTGAACTACATGTGATACAACAATATTGGTGTGGTGAATTGCGTTCTTGTAAGTTTGTACTTTATCTACATAAGCATTAAATGCAAAATTTATTAATATTTTAAGGTTTAATTCTCAGTCGATGTCAAAATGAAATTATCAAGTATTTGAATATGAAAACATGCTGTTTAAATTTTGTAAAAAATGTAAGAATTCATAAAAACAAACAAAACAATCTTAATAACGTATTTTAGATATTTGTTACGTCCTTTTTTTTACTGTCTATTCTCTTTATTTGACTATAACAGTGACTAAACTAAGTGTAATAGTTAAAATAGGTTTTAGTTGTTATGAGGAATGAAAATAAAGCGTATTTTTTTTTTTTCAGTAGTTATTTATGAATAAATGACTTCTACTGAAAAAATCAGCTTTATTAGTGAGGAAACTAACAAATAAATATAAAAATAAGTAATATTCCTTCTTAGTCATTTGAGGTAAATTTAAAATGTTTTTGACAATATAAATCATTGAGATTGTATAAGACAGTTAAAAAAATATAATACAAAAACTTGAATTTCATAAGCGGCTAAAATGTCGTACATGAATAAATGAATTTTGATTCGATTAAATAAAATGCTTACGGTCTATCCAAGCTATAGGCGATTGTGTGTCGGTCTGTCTCTTACCTTTTCAATTAAACGGCTTAACTGATCTTTTTAAAATACAACTTCTTAAGTGTGTAAATTTTATTTCACGTATTAATAAATCAATGAAATGTTCCTCTTTATTGTTCCTCTCATAGAAAGAAAATAACTATTACTTAAATAGGTATACCAAATATTAAAAAAAAACAACATATTTACAATATAGCGTTAACAATGGGCGGCCTTATCGCTAAATAGCGATTTCTTCTAGGCGGAGAGGAGTGTTTAGACTGATCGAGTAAAAATAATTAAAGATATGTATGGATATCTGAACGTGACTTACCAAACGATACCCTGGGCGCCGGAGCCGATGGGCTTCAGGTTCTGGTAGCGCTTGAGTATGGTGAAACGAGTGTCGCCGACCTCCACGGTATAGAAGTGAGGGTGGCGCGGCGGGGCCGACATGGCGGAGGCTGGGGGCGCCGCGTGGGGCATGGACCACCCCTACCTGGGGGCAAGCACTCCTGACATTAACTGCCTATACACGTATGCTTTCAATGTCTCTTTGTGTCATTTACATACACATTGTATGTAAATGAGACAAAGAGAACGAGAAAGACCGCGTGCTCCGCTAGTTAGCGCCTTCCGGCGGGTTCGCTCGCATTGAGTTCGTTATATAATTTCATCACTAAATGGCGCTGAAGTAGTAAAATGTTGATTTTTTTATAAAAAATATTTGTTTTTTTAAATAGAAAGTATCCTATGTTCATTCTAATATCTCCAAAAACATGGGTACAAAATTTCATGATGATCTGTTTAGTAGTTTTTGCGTGAAAGCGTAACAAACATACCTACATTCACATTTATAATATTAGCAAGGATTCTCATTGTTAAATGGCGGACATCTGACTATGGCGCAATGACATAATTATAGTGATATTGATAATTTATAAATCTTATACGCGTTTTTGGAAAATAAAATTTTTGTGGAATGAAAAATAATATTTCAAAAGAAAGTGACTTCAAACATACGCGCTATCACGAGCGAAAGAGTGATCACAAAAAATAGTAAAATGCAATCGGTAGCGTGCGTTGGTTTTCCCGCGCAAAATCGCGCACATTACTGATCTCGCTTGAAACAATGTTTATCAGAGCCTTTTAGCTGTATATATCACTACCTTTAGTAAAAATTATGTGTTTTCACATTGTAAATTGCATTTCGAATAAAGAAATTGAAAGAAAATTGTATTATCTTTTTATATATTGTTTAATCTCTGCATCTCCTGAGCAGATTATGATAATTCTTTTAATGTTACATAGTCCATATATCGAGGATATTATAGGCTATATAACATCACGCTTCGATGAATAGGAGCCGAGCTGTAATGAAAAATGTTGCAGAATCGGGAAATGTGTGACGCAGTCGGAGTCGCACAAATCAGCTGGTACAAATATAAAATTGATTATTATATGACAAGGGAGCGCTTGCGGGGTCTTTCGGTGTCGTAAGCAGATTCTTCGAATAATAAGGTAGCGTACATATATGGTTGTGTACACGTTATGGTCACGCCAGGATACAACTTGTATACTGTCGAGATACCATGGAAAGATGAAGATCATGGCAAATTACAGATAGCATCATCATTTCCAGTGAAACCTGTAGGCTCAGGTACACATTCGTAACAGTGGAGTGTTAATACTCAATGTCTATATTAACAATGCATACAGCTATGGCACGCTCGTCATCTTATTGCAGCTGTGCGCGGTACAATATTTTGTATCTGTGGCATATTGAGGTTTGCGCGGGAAAATAAAAAAGTTTAAAACAAACTTTTTCGGGACATACTTTTTTTCTACTCTATCAATTGTTTTAGCTCATTATTAATCATTATTAACCTTTAATTCAATTATATCAAATATATACAATAACCTTAGTGTAAATGCCCTTGAGTCATTTTTATTAGAGAAATGACTTATTACTTTTTCTAAATGCCACTAGTAAAGGTACTCACTTTAAGAGAATGTCCTTGTAAAAGGTGAGTTCCTCTCCATATATTGGATCCGCCGGGTTATTGTCAGACACCCCTGTACTCAGCGGGTGTGGCTCCGGCTATCACAGGTTCAGTCTTGGTGCCGATTGGAAGACTTCGCAATGCCAATTACGTCTGTGGACAAAAAGAAAAAATAATTAATACAGAAATAGTTCATTTATAGGTCAAAGGGAATTCTGCCTTACGGTCAATATATCGAGCAAGCAAGGTTGACTGTCTAGGTTTTGATTGACTAAAATAATAATAATAATATCTTTATTGTCTAATATTTTTTTCTTTTTACAAATACAAATAATTTAGAAGTCCCTGAATTCTGAGGTAGGTATAGAAAATACCTGTGTTTCAGAAGTCAGTGTCCTCTTCCATATTGAGGTGTACTTTAAGTGAGTTTGTTATGATATATTACAATTTAAGTAGGTTGGTGTAATCGTAGGAGTGTGTGTGTGTGTGTGTGTGTGTGTGTGTGTGTGTGTGTGTGTGTGTGTGTGTGTGTGTGTGTGTGTGTGTGTGTGTGTGTGTGTGTGTGTGTGTGTGTGTGTGTGTGTGTGTGTGTGTGAGTGTGAGTGGATGTGTGTATGTCTTGAGAAATTGGTGATAATCTAGAAACGCCTATAGAAGTGCTATTACCGTATCAATATTAACTGATTGACTAAAATATAAACATACATAATGAAACATGTGCATAAGAATCAATTAATAGTCAAATAGAAATAATAGAATGGAATTAATAGAAAATTAATTGTCACAGCATGCATTATCAATTAAATTTATTTGGTTTTTTAATACATAAATCTATTTCCCCCAACTGCGAAACAAGCAATACTATAGAAGATCTGCATCACATATTAATGGAGAGTGTCTGAGACGATGTTAAAAGGGAATTGTATTTCCTATATATTATAATAGTTATTTTATTATATGATATTATATATATATATATTGATAATAATTTCCTATATATTTTATGCCTATATGTTATACCTATTTCTTGTTTTATTATAGTTTTTTTTAATATATTAATATTTATGATAATATAATAGGGCTGATTACAAGCTGTGGTCTTGTTACATGCGTCCTCGCGTATGTCTCTGGGCAGTGCCTGAATATCAGTGGTTTGCTGCTTGTATGCTGCAAACAATACACTGAGGTGCTGCCTTTTTACGTATGGGCTATGCACACACACTACCTTACTCATACCGTTTTTTGTTATCTGTATTGCATTTTATTTTATCTGTTTATTTGTCGTGTATTGTATTTTGTTTGACTTCACTAATGTAATGTGTATATCTGTTTTTATTTTTGTTCTTATTATTACAGCGCCTTGTGTGTGTGCCTTTAACGTGAATAAATTTTTATCTATCTATTTATAAAAAAAATTGGATTGAATTTGATGTTGGTATGTACCATGGTATACTGTCTGATCCTGTATCATCGCCAGCAAAATTATTATTTTCATTGTACAGTAGATTAGATTAGTAATAAGATACGATGGGACTGGCATTATCATATTATGATAAAACTCCCTAAATAAATGTAAAAATAAAAAAAAAGAATCAATTACATAAACTCGAAAACATTGTGAAAGCGACACCATATGTACATTTAGTATATTTTAATATTATATTTAATTTGCATGATAATCCTTGTGCTTATTTATGTAATTATATAATTTTATAACAATATTAGTATATTTCTAGATTTTCATGTACATTTATATATATATATATATATATACAATCATCATCTGCTTCTTCCTTATCCCTTTTATTTGTGGTCGTCGTAATATGTTTTTCTCTTCCATTCATCTCTGTTCGCAGTCATCTCGTTATTTACTTCCTTTCTCACCATATCATCTTTCACACAGTCCATCCATCTCTTTTTCGGTCTTCCTCTACCCTTGTAACAATCCACATTCATATGTAACACCGTACTCAGGATATAATCTTCATTCCTACGCATTACATCCCATACCACGATAGACTATTACTCTTTAACAACTCGGTGCCACTTTCACTGGTAGAGAATGCCATCAGCCATGAATTAATTAATTTAGTGTGCAAACTAATAAATAAATAAAAATTTCATATCAGTTTACGTAAAGTGGTCGTTGACCTAATGAATATTATGAATAATGAAGTCATATCAAATAAATATTAAACCTTGCTAAATGTTGGAGTATCATTAAAGCGATAATGTTGCCACAAATTAGCAATCTCCATTTTTAAGTGGCAATTTACAGGTGCGTAGCTCGAAGATGCCAGTTCACTTATTACATTACCTGTGCCAGGTATTTTTTCATTAAAATGTTAAGATTATTTAATATTTATAAATAGAACAAACAAGTTTAACTATATAAAAAAAATACTCATTTTGCAACTGGAATGGAAACAAGCTGTTTCTGACAAAATTGAATTGTCATATTTAATCTATCCAAAAAGAGGTTGTCATAGAAATGTGTGTGAGTTGCCAGTCATTTTAACATACTAGCTGTGCCCGCGGTTTTACCTGCGTTAAATTTCAATATAAATTATAGCCTATGTGTTTGTGATGCATAAGCTATATTACTGTAAAGTTTCCACAAAATCCGTTCAGTAGTTTTTGCGTGAAAGGGTAACAAACATCAATATTCACAAAGTTTCGCGTTTATAATATTATTAAGATACAAAAAAAATTTTTTGCCCAACTGCAATGGAAAACACGCTGTTTTCGGCTAGATTCAAAATGGCAACCGTCGTCCAAAGACATGTGCTACTTTTTTTCGGACTACACTAATGCTAGTATGGCGGCAGCTGGCCTTTACATTGAGTGCAGATGGCACTCAAAGAGGAAGGACTTATGGAGCGGATGAAGACCAACTCCTGCTAACGTAGGTATAGGGGTTCCAACCTCGACTCAGGCCGTCGTAATTTCGATCTCAGTTTGAATTGGAGGGTAGATCATGCTTAGAACAGTTCGAAAAAAATAACGGAAGCAGATTGTAACACGAACTTTGTACAATACTTAAAAAATAATTACTGTAGATTGCTTTCACGATAAAATACATCCTACAAATGTTTATAACCTATATCTTTACGTACATGAAACTGAGCTTTATGTCCAGACGTCGATGTTTGATATTCCATTAATCCATTAATTAACAGTGACCAAACTGTTAGTGTTCAGGATAACGAACATCCTACAGATAATTATAACTTACGAGTATATCGATACGTAAATGAAATTGACCTTTATGTTCAGGCGTCGAAGTTTGATGTTCCATTAATCCATTAATTAACAGTGACCACACTGTTATTGTTTTCAGGATAAAGTACATCCTACAAATAATTATAGCCTGTATCGGTACGTAAATGAAATTGAGCTTTATGTTCAAGCGTCGACGTTTGATGTTCCATTAATCCATTAATTTACAGCCTTCTTCTTTCGTATCAATGGCAACTAAATGTATTTTCCCGAGAATGTTGCGACGACTTTTGCGCGTTCTGTCGCATTTTTTAGATCTTCCTTTGCGCCCAAAATTCTGCACAAAGGACATGTCAATAGGTGGGCTATAATCTGGGATGGTGTTCCGCAGTCACAAGCCTCCCTTGATGCGACACCCCATTTTACCAAATTTTGTACCTGCAGCGGCCCATCTGGGTTCACAGTCTGCTAAGCGATTTACAAGTGGGCCATTGCAGGTCGCTACCTAAGAACAGGTGTTCGGATGGTTGAAGAAAGTCCAAAGGAGCAGGATGGTTTGACTTCCATAAGTCTACATTGGCTTTATGTGGGTCGTTGGTCAAAGCTCTTGTCTACATATTGACTACACTATTGGTGAGATATTGTATGGTATCAATATTGCGAGCACAGTGGACATCGAACCGTGGGCACGTTTCAATTTAGTTTCAAACTGCAATATTCGCATTTTCCAGATGGCGAAAGTGGCGTAAGCGATTTTGTTAGCAAACAGTTATTTGTTGTGTTTTCATTCGAAATACTCGAATGCTGTCAGCCATAGCTTGTCTTTACAGCTTCACCGAATCATAGAGGGTGAGTGAAGATGGCAATACAAACTGGAAGGGTTTATGGAGCGGCTGAAGATAAGTTCCCGCATCACGGATGCGACTATAATCTGAGGGCTAGGGGTTCGAACTTCGGCTCAGGCCATCGCAATTTCGATCGCCGTTTGAATTCGACGGGGGATCGAAATTTGTTGAGTTTTAGGAAAATATAAAATACAAAGAACTTAAATTTGTCTGAAAACTGATTTATCTGATGTATACCATGTATGTATACCAATTGCTCATACTTTTCACCACCTTCAATCACCAAAATATGATGGAATTGGGTGGAATTGTAGCATTAAAATTCCATATTTTCCATTTATTTTACACTTCGCAATTTCCTAACCTACATTTCAATTTATCAAATTCTCCACGACATCAATTCAATTTACAGTTGGAAAAACTTTTAGATATTTATATCATTTATGAATATTTTTAGATAATGTGGCGTAGCTTTTTAGGGTAGTGCTACTTGACTCGCTCCAATTACTGGCTAGCGCAGCCCTGCACGGCCCTCGACTCCGCTGTGGTACTCAACTGCACTTGCCTTGTGCACTGGCTACGTGAATTAGTACCTGCCTTTCAGCTTACTCAAAAAAAGGTTTCAACCCGAATAATTACGTGGTAAATAAAAGTATTTACCTCTTTCGGTTTTTCAACTAGGTTGCACTGCCCGTGGTCACTGTCTGACTGGACTGGGAACGTCGAGACAGATATTACGTGTTAAAACATGTTTCTCCATATTAATAATATAACTTAACTTTATTACTGGAATTATAGAATCTATATGACTAGTAAACTACACTATACTTATGAACGCTGCTTGTGCTGGTCTGCTCTGATTACTACGTCTGCTGTGAATGTCGTAATATGGTCTGATCGCCGAACAGTCAACACTAGGCTTCCAAGCTATATCCGAACTCTATTCATTGCCTGATCATGTCTCGTTTAGAGGCGAAACATGAATCGCAATACGAGTGTAGATCCAATAACGGTCAGAATTCACATTGATCATTGATCACTTATAGGGAAGATCATAAAGCTTCTAGTAGCACTTCTAGTGCGGAAACT